ACTCCTGACCTCAGGTGATCCGCCCGCCTCAGCCTTCCAAAATGCTGGGATTACAGGTGTGAGCCACCGCACCCGGCTGGTATACTTAATGTATTAATTCTATATGATGCACACTTCCCCCAATGTTTTGTTATTACAGACCACTCACTCTAAGGAATAACCTTATACATTTATCACTTTATACATATGTGAACGTATCTGGAGGATAAATACTACAAGCAGAATTGCTGAACTAAAATAAGTGTGCATTTTTTCATTTTGATAGATGTAAAAATTTTATTTCATAAGGGTTGTACTAGTTTCTACTCTGAACTTATGCCCCGGAATTTTTTTTTTTTTTTTGAGACGGAGTCTCGCTCTGTCGCCCAGGCTGGAGTGCAGTGGCGCGATCTCGGCTCACTGCAAGCTCCGCCTCCCGGGTTCACGCCATTCTCCTGCCTCAGCCTCCCGAGTAGCTGGGACTACAGGCGCCCGCCACCTCGCCGGCTAGTTTTTTATGTATTTTTTAGTAGAGACGGGGTTTCACCGTGTTAGCCAGGATGGTCTCGATCTCCTGACCTCGTGATCCACCCGTCTCGGCCTCCCAAAGTGCTGGGATTACAGGCTTGAGCCACCGCGCCTGGCCGGAATTTTTTTTGAAAGTCTGGAAAATGCAAACATGATGCTTCATTTTAGAACCCAGATGAATGGGTGAATGGGAGTGGTACTAAGAGATACAAATGCACAGTATCTCCCCCAGAGCATGGTAATGATGGAAGTATTTTACAGCTTCTGGGGGGCAACAGAAATTGTCAAGTGTTATTCACAGTAGAGTACTGAGTGCTGTAGAGCATTCAGAGGACATCCACTTGAATGGGAATAAGAAGACATAAGTCATAGCCTGTCTTTCCTAAGGCATTCTCGCAAGTGCTTAGTAACCCATGAGCACGTCTCTTCCTCACCACTCTAGTGGATAGAGAAGGAATTAGATGGAGAACATTGCGTCCATCCATCCATCCATGCTAAGGATGAGGTAACTCAGTATTAAGATGTTTTTTTCTCCCAACGCATAATGTACATTCCATAAAAAGAGCACTAATCTTGAGTATACAACTCGATGAGTTTTCCCATATATGAACTTAACTCCCACCACCAAGATACATTTTGAGCCCCACATAAGGTCCTCATGTGCCCTTTCTCCATCAATACCCACCCACACCCATGCCAAGGTAACCGCTATTTTGATGTCTGTCACCATCTGTTAGTGAACTTATATACAATGGAATCATGCAATTTACTCTCATATCTGGTTCCTTTTGCTTATAATGTCCTATACCTTAGAATTTTAAGGCAGTTGGCTATGAGAATTAATCCTGCATCAGGGCACACCAGAATTTAGCTGAAGATGGTTGCCTCTCCAAACTTACTAAACGAACTTGGGAGAGCCCTATTAGGTACACTGTCTATTATCCTGTCCACACCCAGGTTGAATTAGCCTTCATAAATCAAGGAAGTTGAATGTTGCTGCAATGCAAAACTTTCAAAGACTGACTCCTTGCATTGCCAAATGAGACTATTGTTTGGTAGCAATAGGCTGGTAGGATGATGTTAGGACTTTTATGCAAGTTAGAGGAATTACAGAAGCCCAGTTTAAACTAGTTTAAGACAGGGCATGGTGGTTCAGGCTGATAATCCCAGCACTTTGGGAGGCCAATGAGGTGGGAAGATTGCTTGAGGCCAAGATTTCGAGACCAGCCTGGGCAACGTAGGGAGACCCTGTCTCAATTTTTTAAAAAATCATGAAGAAAAAAGTAGCTTAAGCAAAAGGAGGAATTATCTGAGTCACATGAGGCCCAAGGATGTCTCTAGCTTCAGTCATGGCATAATCGAGGGATTCAGAAGATAGCAGGGCTCTTATATGCTTTCATCTGTCGGTATGTTGGCTTTATTCTCAGTTCAGCTTCTGTTGTGACAGCATAGCCATCTACATTTATTTATTTATTTGTTTTTACTTTTCAGAGATAGAGTCTCACTGTTTCACACAGGCTGGAGTCCAGTGGTGTGATCATAGCTCACTGAATTCTCAAATTACTGCACTCAGTGATCCTTCTGCCTCAGCCTCCTGAGTAGCTAATACTACATGTGCATGCAGCCATGCCTGGGTTTTTGTTGGTGGTGGTTTTTTTGAAATGGAGTCTTGCTGTGTCACCCAGGCTGGAGGCTTGGCACAATCTTGGCTCATTGCAACCTCCGCCTCCCAGGTTCAAGTGATCCTCCCACCTCAACCTCCCGAGTAGCTGGGATCACAGGCGTGCACCACCATGCCCAGCTAATTTTTGTATTTTTAGTAGAGACGAGGGTTTCACCATGTTAGCCAGACTGGTCTCAAACTCCTGACCTCAAGTGATCCCCCTGCCGAGGCCTCCCAAAGTGCTGGATTACAGGTGTGAGCTACCGCACCTGGCCGGCTTGTTTTTATTCTTCAGTCATTTGTTTCATTCTCACACACACTCCTTCATGCTGCCTTTATTGCTCCTACCTTGCCCTGATCTCAGTGGAGTTGTGCACTTTCCTCCACCCCTGTTTTGCAGCCTCCGTGAGAACATGGACCTGGTCTTCCCAGGGTCACCTGGCTCAGTACTCTATGCATGTCAGGTGTTAAGGACAATTACTGAATTGAAAATATATGTATAAGAATCCTTTTCTGATTACACACAGAATCAGTGACAGCAGAGAAACAACCTATGATCAACAATGCCATGACTATTAGAATGAAGTTTGTTATACACTGTGTATTTTAGAGCTGCCACCATTATTGGTAGGCATATCTAAGTCTTACTAATCAGAGAACATTCTCCTGGCTTCAAGGATGACAGTGACCTGAAAAGGGCCAATCAGAACCTTTTTGCTATGTAAGCTTTGGGAAAGGAAACTTCATGCTGGGCTGAAAAGATCAATGCAGCTCGGGAAATGTGGAGGGCCCAGCCCGGGCAACAGAGTGAGACCTTGTCTCTACAAAAAAAATTAAAAATTAGCCCAGTGTGGTGTTGCTCACACCTGTAGTCAGTACTTTTCTTGTGAAACCTTTTGCTTTTAGCTTTCATGCTAGATCAAGTATGTTAATATTTTAAAGGGGTGTAGGAGGAGGGGAGGAAAACTTCGAAGGTAAAGATACATCAAGAATATAAAAATTCTGGCAGGAGGCCTACTTCGATGTTTTACTTTTTATGTTTTTTTGTAATTTCTTTTGCCCTTTAGTTTCCTCCCTCTTTGGCCTTACCCCTAAAATAAATCCACTGCGTTCTAAAGGTTTTGTTTTGCTACCTCGAAGAAGAAGCATAGTACTTGGCAGTTTTGGCAGAGTGTCTAGGAACTTGTTAATCATTGACTCATGGAGAAAGTCACATTTTCCCTCCATTAGAAGTAACATTAGCATAGCACACAAAGCCATATTACCTGAATACATTTTTTTTTTTTTTGAGACAGAATCTCATTCTTTTACCCAGGGTGGAGTGCAGTGGTGCGATCTCAGCTCACTGCACTCTCTGCCTCCTGGGTTCAAGCAATTCTTCTGCCTCAGCCTCCCGAGTAGCTGGGATTACAGATGCTCGCCACAATGCACGGCTAATTTTTGTATTTTTTGTAGAGATGGGGTTTCACCATATTGGCCAGGCTGATCTTGAACTCCTGGGGCCTCAAAGGATTTGCCCACCTTGGCCTCCCAAAGTGCTGGGATTACAGGTGTGAGCCACTGCCCTCGGCCATAAATCTTGAAAGAAGAAATAAATACCACCCCCACCTGCATCTACACACACATACCCCAAAGTTTAGAGTCTGCAAGAAATTGTATGCTTACAAATCTAAGACTCTGACAACAGTTAGAGCAAAGCACATGTGGATCACCTAGAAAAGGGACTAAACCTGGAAGATAAAGCTTAGTATGATAGTTTATGTAAATTGGCAGCAAAAAGAAACACTTCAGACGTTTTAAATAGTTGACTGGAATGGCAAGGCTGATGCTTGGAAAGTCTTAGGCCCATTCTTTGTATTTGTTTATGATGTGTAGCCTTCCTATGCCCAAGTATTCTGAGGACTAAGCACACATCAGAAACATTTGCAGTGTGAATGGTAATCAAAACATTGCTTCTCAGAGAGTGAGAAGCATTTCTGTTCTTGCCCTTTTCTACAAGAAAATGAAACTTCGTATTTCTTTTACTCAGAAGTAGTTCCCACTTTCAACTTTGGTATTTTATTCCTCAGTTAGGGTTATTTTCATGTTTATGTCTGAAACACTATAAATGTGCAATTGTGATGCAACTTTAATTGTATTAGAAAAAATAATAAGTGTGTAATGGTAACACTTCTATTCATTCTACATGACTTCAGGATTAACAGCAATTTTAAAAAGAATCCTAAAGGAACTCTTTAATTTATTGTAATGTAAAGCTTTTTAGTTTTTTAGTTTAGATATTTAGTTTATTTTGCAAGATTTTATCTTAATATGATAATTGCTACATGGTAGTATAAGATTAATATTACAAAGAGCATATGTGCATTCTTCCCCACGCAGTATTCCAGGGAACCAGAAGAGCCTGTAGAAAAGAATGATCATTATTTTCCCGACAGCATTTGTAGAGTAAGTCCCTGGCACAGGTCAGGTAAACACCTCTTATAGATCAGCCTGAACTTTTTAAAATGAAATCTGAGATCCATTGTACTTAGAAGGTATAAAAATGGCTACTCCCCTTTAAATTGGAACCTACTACTTGTGTGTATTAGAGGACTCTGAACTGCTGTCAAATTGCGTGCAGAAAACGAGGCATCTGCTCAGTGCTAGTGTTGAGGCAGGTGGATTACTTGAACTGAAGTTCAAGCAATTCAAGACTTCAATTGTCTGAAGTCCTTGCTTGAGTGCACCTGTGTGCAGATGTCTTCTGGTGTTTATTATGGCTGCACTCTGTGATTACAGTGCACTGGCAAAGGGCTGTAGTGTACTGAACAATGATGCCTGTTTTTATTAGGGTTCCTGAAGTGGTTCAGGAGCTTCCAGTGACTTCGCCTGTGGATGACTTCAGGCAGCCTCGTTACAGCAGCAGTGGTAACTTTGAGACACCTTCAAAAAGGACTTCTGCAAAGGGAAGAGCAGGAAAGTCAAAGAGAACAGAGCAAGATCACTATGAAACAGACTACACAACTGGCGGCGAGTCCTGTGATGAGCTGGAGGAGGACTGGATCAGGTACCGACTCAGCTCTCCTTTTCCTGGGCCACGTGCACCTTCTGATGATTAAAGGAGACCAACCAGGTGTCGGAGTTGTTGCCTCCCAAATTGAGGTCACTGGTGTAATTTCATTCTTTGCCAGCCAGGACTGGAGACAGTTTTTTGTGTGGTGTTGGTTGGTTTTTTCCTTAGCACCCTTTTGTGATAAAGATTGAAGTGGAGAGAATGTTTGGCAGTAACCATGTCTTTGAACTTTGGCAGTAACCACTTTGAACTTTCCACAGCGTGGCTGGTGAACTTCACCAGTGCTCTTACTTATACCAATAGTCACGCAAGAAAGGTCTCCCAGCACTTTGGGAGGCAAAGGCTAAGAATTCAAGACCAGCCAGGCATAGTAGTATGGGCCTGTAGTTCCAGCTACTCAGGAGGCTGAGGCTGAGGCTGAGGCAGGAGGATTGCTTAAGCCCAGGAGTTCAAGGCTGCAGTGAGCTTTAATTGCACCATTGCACCCCAGGCTGGGCGATAGAGCTAGACCCTGTCTCAAAAAACAACCAAAGAAAGGCCTTTCAAATAAATAAAATCCAGGTATAGAGGAACTTTGTTTTACTGATTATAAAATTCCCAGACCAGTGCTATGGTTTTCCTTTGGCATTACTTTTTTTTTTTTTTGAGACGGAGTCTTGCTCTGTCACCCAGGCTAGAGTGCAATGGCACGATCTCGGCTGGCTGCAACCTCTGCCTTCCGGGTTCAAGCGATTCCTGCTTCAGCCTCCCAAGTAGCTGGGATTACAGGCGCCCACCACCATGCCTGGCTAATTGTATTTTTAGTAGAGACGAGTTTCACCGTGTTGGCCAGGCTGATCTTGAAAATCCTGACCTCAGATGATCCGCCCGCCTCAGCCTCCCAAAGTGCTGGGATTACAGGTGTGAGGCACCACGCCTGGCTGGCAATTATTTTTTAAGTTAAGCTTAAAATGATAAGACCAGAGTTTCTTTTAAAGTTTAATCCAAAGAGTTTCGTAAACAATTGAGGTAACAATTTAGTATTCAGCCACAGTTGTGGTTAAGTTTCTTTGTGTGTCCGTGGTTTTGTTACAGTCCACCCACCATCACCAAATGTATTTGTTTATGATGTGTAGCCTTCCTATGCCCAAGTATTCTGAGGACTAAGACACACATCAGAAACATTTGCAATGTGAATGGTAATCAAAACATTGCTTCTCAGAGAGTGAGGAAGGATAGGCGGGGCATGGGTAGCTTGAGATCCCCTATTCACTGATGATTCTGATACTTTATCTTCCCCTCTCCCCTCAAGAGTTTTTGGCCTGGCTTAGCTATCTATCTGTAAAATATTCACCTAACTTGTATCCAGAAGATTTAACTGAAAACTTTTTTTTTTTTTTTTTTTTTGAGATAAGAGTCTCACTCTGTTGACGAGGCTGGAGTGCAGTGGCACAATCTCTGCTGACTGCAACCTCCACCTCCCAGGTTCAAGCAATCCTCCTACCTCAGCCTCCCAAATAGCTGGGATTACAGGCATGTGTCACCACGCCTGGCTAATTTTTGAGGTTTTAATAGAGGCAAGGTTTCACTGTGTTGGCTGGGCTGGTCTCAAACTCCTGACTTCAGGTGATCCACCCGCCTTGGCTTCCCAAAGTGCTGGGATTACAGGTGTGAGCTACTGTGCCCAGCCTGAAAATTTTCAAAATCTGAATTCTTATTTCCCTTTGGATCAAATCATTTAAATTTCTCCCCTCTGTAAAATGAAGATACTAGATTGTTAGATCTAAAATTTGAAATTCCACATCATTGTGAAACTCCAGTCCTGTGAAAGGATTCAGAGTATTTTCTCTATGGATTATGGGTTGATGGCATCATCTTCCTATGTAAGGAGTAGCGGGCATATTGAGAGATACATGTGATACAAAATTTCAGTTTTTCTTCTTTATACTTTAATGAATTGCCAGATTATTTTAATAATGAGCACATGTTTTTATACATGTACATTTTTAATGTCTATTTTTATTATGAAAGAAGTAGATAAGCTATTTCCACTTTGGAAAAACAAGAGCAAAAAATAAATAAACCAGTCTGAAAACTATGGGTGGTAGCAGGAAACAGCCACTTCCAGTCAGCTGTGCTGCCACTGTGGTGATCAAAGCGTACTTTGTGTTCCAGAATTCCAGTTTTAAGACTTTAAACAGGCCAGGCGTGGTGGCTTACTCCTGTAATCCCAGCACTTCAGGAGGCTGAGGTGGGTGGATCACCTGAGGTCAGGAGTTTGAGACCAGCCTGGCCAACATGGTGAAACCCCGTCTCCACTAAAATACAAAAATTAGCTGGGCATGGTGGCAGCTGCCTGTAATCCCAGCTACTATGGAGGCTGAGGGATGAAAATCGCTTGAACCCGGGAAGTAGAGGTTGCAGTGAGCCGAGATTGTGCCACTGCACTCCAGCCTGGGTGATAGAGCGGGCTTTGTCTCAAAAAAAGAAAAAAAAGAAAGAAAAACTTGAAACATAAGTAGTCCACTATTGATACTGTGTATGGAGAATAAATGAGTTCCTATGACTTGTACCTTCAATTTTGTAAATGATTTTCAAAATTATTTCTGCAAATTATGTCGGCATAGTTTTAAAAAAATGAGCAGTAATATATAGTCACTCTTAATAGAACCTATTTGTACTCTCTCTCTCTTTACCCATAAGAAACAAAAAGGAAACAAGAAAATGTCATTCTCCATACCCCACCAGCTTTATTATCTTTGAGGAAGGAGCATTGAATTTTATGTCTGCTAAGGATACATATGTAGTCATTTTCTCTCACCTTTTAGGGAATATCCACCTATCACTTCAGATCAACAAAGACAACTGTACAAGAGAAATTTTGACACTGGCCTACAGGAATACAAGAGCTTACAATCAGAACTTGATGAGATCAATAAAGAACTCTCCCGTTTGGATAAAGAATTGGATGACTATAGAGAAGAAAGTGAAGAGTACATGGTAAATTCAACCTAATATTTGTATATTATGCAGAATTTGAATCTTATCTGTGGAGGTACAGCATCCTTTATATTAATGTTGATTAAAATGTGCTAGTAATTATCAAACTGCAGTTTCATTGAAGAATAGTTGAGATTGGGTTTTGGATGAAATTCTTTTCTAATAGAAGACTGAACTAATGTATAATAGTTAAGAATTTCAAAGCACTATTCCTTTTTTTTGAGGCAGAGTCTTGCTCTGTCGACCAGGCTGGAGTGGCGCGATCTTGGCTCACTTCAAGCTCTGCCTCCGGGGTTGACACCATTCTCCTGCCCCAGCCTCCTGAGTAGCTGGACTACAGGTGCCTGCCACCACCACGCCTGGCTAATTTTTTGTATTCTTTTTTTAGTAGAGACGGGGTTTCACCGTGTTAGCCAGGATGGTCTCGATCTCCTGACCTTGTGATCACCCACCTCAGCCTCCCAAAGTGCTGGGATTTCAGGCATGAGCCACCGTGCCCAGCCCCTACAAAGCACTATTCTATGTACATCTATGCTTTCCTATTTAAAATAGCCAGGCTGGGCATGGTGGTTTCACGGCTATAATCCCCACACTTTGGGAGGCCAAGGCCGGGTGGATCACCTGAGGTCAGGAGTTTGAGAATAGCGTGGCCAACATGGCGAAACTCCGTCTCTACTAAAAATACAAAAAATAGCAGGGCATGGTGGTGGACACCTGTAATCCCAGCTACTCGGGAGGCTGAGGCAGGAGAATTGCTTGAACCTGGGATGGGGGAGGTTGCAGTGAGCCAAGATTGCGCCATTGCACTCCAGCCTGGGCAACAGAGTGAGACTCCATCTCAAAAATAATAATAATAATAATAATAAAATAGCCCTATTATCTTTCCTATTTATAAAGCCATTCTTTCTGTAGAAAAGAACTTAACACAGAATTATATACAGAAAAAGAAATCACCATGGCCAGGCACGGTGGCTAACGCCTGTAATCCCAGCACTTTGGGAGGCCGAGACGGGCGGATCACAAGGTCAGGAGATCGAGACCATCCTGGCTAACACGGTGAAACCCCATCTCTACTAAAAATACATAAAAAAAAAAAAAAAAAAAAATGAGCCGGGCGTGGTGGCGGGCACCTGTAGTCCCAGCTACATGAGAGGCTGAGGCAGAAGAATGGCGTGAACCCGGGAAGCGGAGATTGCAGTGAGTGGAGATTGCGCCATTGCACTCCAGCCTGGGCGACAGAGCAAGACTCCATCTCAAAAAAAAAAAAAAGAAGAAAAAAAGAAAAAGAAATCGCCTTAAATCCTACCATCAAGAAATCCTTATCACCAAAATATTAGTTGTTAAAACAATCTCTCCAAGCAGGAGTCACCGAGGTACATATAACTTTCTCTAAGGAAACATCATCTATCATCTTCCATGTTCCACTTACTTTCTTCCTGTCTTTTAAATCAACAGTTTATAGTTATCTTTTTTTTCCTCCCTTGATCACCTGGCTGAGATAGAATTTGTCCATGTAGAGTTACTGGGTTTTGTTTTTTTTTTAAATCCATCCTTTTCATACTGTATTTTGTATACGTACTGAAATTAATGTAGTTACACCACCTTTTAGAGGGAGATTAGTCTCTTCTTGTTTATTTGTTCCTTTATTGATCAATCACTTACGTAACTGTGGACTCATGGATATCTGTTTTATACTGTGAGTTATAATCCAAGGCTGCTTTACTTTGTAGCTCTAATTGTTCTCACTTTGACCGTTGGGAACTCTTTCAGTTGCTTCCTGTGTCCCTTTGATGTACTTTTATCATTGTGGTGTTTTATCTTTTAAAAACAAAACAAAACAAAACTTTCTTGCACTGCTTATTTCTGGCTTTTCTTAACAGCAAGTTTTTTTTATATCAGTAATAAAGACCTACTTAGTTTTAAGTTTTTTATGTGTAAAATTAGGTAAACAACTTTCAATTTTATGGTTGCATCATAATTTAAGAGTCATTTTCTATGGATAGACATTTAAGTATGTCTCCCCCTACTCCAGTAGTACCAGTATGCACTGGTGAACCTCTCCATTTTTGTACTCTTGTCTGCTTATCTAGTTTTTTTTTTTTTTTTTTTTTTTTTTTTTTTTTTTTTTTTTTTTTTTTTTGAGACAGAGTCTTGCTCTGTCGCCCACACTGAAGTGCAATGGCTCTATCTTGGCTCACTGCAACCTCCGCCTCCCAGGTTCAAGTGATTCTTCTGCCTCAGCCTCCCAAGTAACTGGGATTATAGGCATATAGCACCACACCTGGCTAATTTTTGTATTTTTAGTAGAGACGGGGTTTTGCCATGTTGGTCAGGCTGGTCTCGAACTCCTGACCTCAGGTGATCTGCCTGCCTCGGCCTCCCAAAGCGCTGGAATTACAGGTGTGAGCCACAGCGCCCAGGCTGCTTATCTAATTAAAACTAATTCCAGAATGTGAAATTGCTGAGAGTCAGAGGGTATGTATCTTTAAACTTCTGTTGCAAAATTGCCCTCCAGAGAGATTGCACTAACTGCGTCTCCCTCCTGATACAATACAGGGCTCATTTGATGCACATGTCACTTACACCTGAAAAATTAGATATTCTGCCATTTTTCAGTTGAAGTGATCTGCTTTTTAGTTTTGATATATTCACATCTTTGTATAGTTAGATTTATGTATTTCTTTTATGGTTTCTATAGGGTGTTATAGATCTTTCTTAATTTAGTGAACATGTATTGATCACTTATTGCTCTTTGATGTGGAAATGCTGAGGTTAGATATATAAAATCCTGTCCCCACCCTCAAAGAGCTCATATTTGAAGAAAAAAACTGACATCTAACCAATTTAGACAATATGATTAATGCTGTATTTGTATCATGTGTAGAAAGCACTATAACTTAACTGCTCATAGGAGAAATAAAGTCTTTCGAGGCTTCACAGTGAGGGAATCATTAAGAATTTTCCAGACAGAAGGGTGCGGGGAGGTGCATGATTTCAGCCATAAGGAAAACATGATCAAAATCTTGAAGCATTTAACATGTTTCAGTTTTTAAAGGAGTTGCTGATGATGGGTGCTGAGACTGGAAAGGTAGGAAACTGGATGAAGAGAGAAGTTAATGGGAAGCTCAGACCAGTTTTGTAGTGGGATATTACCTGATCAGCGCTCAGTGTTTGAAAAGATCTTCCTGGTGTCAGTGTAGCATGGGGACTGGCATGAGGAGAGATGAGAAGTAGCAGAACAGATAGTTACCTGCCTGTGTGAGTGGAATGTGAAAGATACAGTATCATAAATATCTCTTCACTGAATTCCTTCAGACCTTCCTACTGATCATGAGTTTTAAGAGCTTTATGACTTTGTTCTTTTAATTGCTTATATTTTTGTCATAAGCTGTCACTTTTAGCTCCAAAGTATAACATCAGGAATGTTACTTTTGAAAGATAAAATGCCCCAGTAAACATATTCGTTTGTGTCTCTCATTAATAGGCTGCTGCTGATGAATACAATAGACTGAAGCAAGTGAAGGGAGTAAGTATCCGAGATCGTTCTTGTAGGAAGAACTTTCCTCCTCTTCTTTTTCTTTTAATTCCCATACCTACTCATCTGGAGGAAGAGCTTTTCTATTACATGTTTTTCATTTTTTATTTTATGTATTTTGTAAAAGTTGAAGTATACATAAAGTGTACAAATCAAAGTGTATAACATGATGAATTTTCACAGTGTGACCACATACCTGTGTTTGCAGATCAAGAAATGTATTTCCCAGTACCTCCCCACCCCATGCTTGTACTCCTTTCCAGTGTTTACACTCTCTGCAGAGGGGTCCACCATGCTCACTTCTAACATTATAGAGTTTTGTCTCTCTTGCACATTACATAAATGGAACCATACAGTATGTATTTTGTGTGTGATTTCTTTTGCTCAGTATTGTGTTTGTAAGGGTCCATTCATGGTTCATTACTATTTTTTTGTTTTAGACGGAGTCTTGCTCTGTTGCCCAGGATGGAGTGCAGTGGCGCAATCTTGGCTCACTACAACCTCCGCCTCCCAGGTTCAAGCAATTCTCCTGCAGCCTAGCTGGGATTGCAGGCACACACCAAGTAGAGACAAAGTTTTGCCATGTTGGCCAGGCTGGTCTTGAACTCCCAACATCAGGTGATCCGCCTGCCTTGGCCTCCCAAAGTGCTGGGATTACAGGCATGAGCAACCATTCCCAGCCATGGTTCATTGATTTTTTTTTTTTTTTAAGAGGGAGTCTCGCTCTGTCACCCAGGCTGGAGTGCAGTAGCATGATCTCAGCTCACTGCAACCTCTTGCCTCCTGGGTTCAAGCAGTTCTCCTGCCTCAGCCTCCCGAGCCGCTGAGATTACAGGCAAGCACTACCACACCCGGCTAATTTTCCTATTTTTAGTAGAGATGGGGTTTCACCATGTTCGGCAGGCAGGTCTCAAATTCCTGGCCTCAAGTGATCCACCTGCCTCGGCCTTCCAAAGTGCTGGGATTACAGGCATGAGCCACCATGCCTGGCTGGTTCATTAATTTTTATTGCTGTGTAGTGTTGTATATAAAACGCAACTTTATTCATCCATTCTATTGTTAATGAACATTTGGGTTGTTCCCAATTTTTGGCATTTAAAAATATCACAGCTTCAAACATATTTGTAAATGTTTGAACATAGAAGTGTTGGGCATTTGTGTATCCAGCGCTAGTAGATACTGTCAAATGGCTTTCCAAAGTAGTTGTACCAGTTTACTTTCCCATCAACCACTACAGACTCCTATTGCCCTATATCGTTGCTAACACTTGGCATGTCAGTCACTATTGACTTAAAACCTTAACAAAAATTATATTAAAATTTCTGTAAATTACTTATCCAGGTGCTGTGGTACGTGCTTGTAGTCCTAGCTACTAGGGAGACTGAGGCAAAAGGATCCCTTGAACCCAGGAGTTCAGAGCTGCAGGGAGCTATAATTGTACCACTGCGCTCCAGCCTGGGCAATAGGATGAGACCCTTTCTAAAAACAACAACAACAAAAAATTATCAATTACAGGCATCATGATTTGCAATAAGAGTTTAAAGGGTATACAGTAAAATTTCCCATCTCACTTATCCCCTATTCAGCTTCCCTTTCCCCAGTCAACTGAGATCACCAGTCTCTTGTTTTACTTACAGTTTTAGATGATCTGTTAGCAAAAAGGCTGATAAGTTTTCTTGGTCATTTTACAGGTTTTTAGAAATGGGGTATCCTTTTTAAAAACCCAGGTTAGAAGACAGAACTGAGCAAACAGAATCAGCTGCCTGTGTGGTTAGTGATACTGCCAGGCACCTTGAGTGTATTACTTCAATTAACACTCCCAACAATTCTCTGACTAAATATTCCATTTTTTTGTTCACCTCTGCCTTCCTAGCAGACCTGTTTTTATTTTGTTGAATTTATGTGATTCATTTTCTCCCTTTTTAGTCTGCAGATTACAAAAGTAAGAAGGATCATTGCAAGCAGTTAAAGAGCAAATTGTCACACATCAAGAAGATGGTTGGAGACTATGATAGACAGAAAACATAGAAGGCTGATGCCAAGTTGTTTGAGAAATTAAGTATCTGACATCTCTGCATTCTTCTCAGAAGGCAAATGACTTTGGACCATAACCCAGGAAGCCAAACCTTGTGAGCATCACAAAGTTTTGGTTGCTTTAATATCATCAGTATTGAAGCATTTTATAAATAGCTTTTGATAATCAACTGGGCTGAACACTCCAATTAAGGATTTTATGCTTTAAACATTGGTTCTTGTATTAAGAATGAAATACTGTTTGAGGTTTTTAAGCCTTAAAGGAAGGTTCTGGTGTGAACTAAACTTTCACACCCCAGATGTCTTAATACCTACATGTATTTGTTTGCATAGGTGATCTCATTTAATCCTCTCAACCACCCTTCAGATAACTGTTATTTATAATCACTTTTTTCCACTTAAGGAAACTGGGTTCCTGCAATGAAGTCTCTGAAGTGAAACTGCTTGTTTCCTAGCACACACTTTTGGTTAAGTCTGTTTTATGACTCCATTAATAATAAACTCCCTGGCCTTTCATATTTTAGATACTATATATGTGATGATCTACCAGCCTCCCTATTTTTTTCTGTCATATAAATGGCTAAAAGAAGTTTTTCTTAAATAATAAAGATCATGTAAAAGTAACAAATGTGTGAAATTTAAAGATTGTAAATATACATTTACTTTTTTAAGATCAAAGTTTAAACCCAGTGGTTAGAATTTTGTGTATTTTTAAATACTTTTTATCTTTTATGGTTTACATGCATTTTTTAAAAAACCAACTAAACCTTTTCTTTATATCAGAATATCTGATTACATTTATAATTCAATTGTGACTTGAACTGTATCTTACAGGAATGTTCAATTTCTATACATATTTTATAAGGTATTCAACCTGGTGTTTTCTTTCCATAATAACCTGTTTGATGTTGTTAGTGCTGTTAACATACAGCTGTGGAAAACCACACTCAGGAGTTGTATCTGTTGTTGTTTATACTCTTTTGGGTGCTGTGCTGGTTAGTCGTTTCCCAATCCTTTGGCTGTAAGAATGCTGGTATGTCTGCAAATAGAATGCTATACCACGAAATACCAAATAATTTCAAATGGTGCCCTTAAATTGTATCACTTTTTTAAAAATTCAGATTCTTATTAGTAAAATTAGTTGATAGCACTGTGCTGACCAAGTTGATCATGACCATCCCAGCTTAGACTTTTCGAAAAACCTTTTTTTAGAATAATCTGTGACCTTTAGTATGCATTTCAGATATTTAGGTATATAATTTTTTTTTTTTTTTAAGATGGAGTCTTACTCTGTCACCCAGGCTGGAGTGCAGTGGTGCTATCTTGGCTCATTGCAACCTCCACCTCCTGGGTTCAAGCGATTCTCCTGCCTCAGCCTCCCGAGTAGCTGGGACTACAGGTGCCCATCACCATGCCTGGCTAATTTTTGTATTTTTAATAGAGATGGGGTTTTACCATATTGGCCAGGCTGGTCTTGAACTCCTGACCTTGTGGTCCACCTGCCTTGGCCTCTCAAAGTGCTAGGATTAGAGTCGTGAGCCACCACGCCCAGCCTAAGTGTGTGTGTGTGTATAATATATATATGTTTATATATATATATATATATATTTTGGAGATGGAGTTTTGCTCTTGTTGCCCAGGCTGGAGTGCAATGGCGTGATCTTGGCTCACCGCAACCTCCGCCTCCCAGGTTCAAGCAAAAGTAGCTGGGATTATAGGCATGCGCCACCATGCCTGGCTAATTTTTTTTGTATTTTTAATAGAGATGAGGTTTCTCCATGTTGCCTAGGCTGGTCTTGAACTCCTGACCTCAGGTGATCTGCCCACCTCGGCCTCCCAAAGTGCTGGGATTAGAGGTGTGAGCCACTGTGCCCAGCCTATAATTTTTGATAGATGATTTTGAATTATTTTCCGGAGATAAAATTTTAAATGTTTCCATTATATCACTGATTTATTTCTGCAAATTGAATAAATTCTTAATTTTCTGCATGCTGCACATAATAGAAAAGGTATTTTCATAGCTTTTGGATTTATACCAAATGAAAAGACTCTCGGCACTTTCTATTTTTTTTTTTTTTTTTTTTTTTTTTTTTTTTTTTTTTTTTTTTTTTTTTTTTTTTTTTTTTTTTTTTTTTTTTTTTTTTACTTCTCGAGTCACCTTTAACTGATTTTTCTGTGTTAAATTTTTAACAATTTGTTCTTGGAAGTCAGTGTACTTAATTCATGAAGGCAAGTTTGTCAGTATTTTCACAAAACAAAACTATTCAGCTGAATCCAGAAGGTAAAATAGCAAGAATTTGCATTGTAAAATTGTGTTATAAAATTGGACTTTGAAATTTTAAAAATAGGAAAAATTTTCATATGTATTTATACTAAATACCATTTTAGGAAACCAGGATCAGAGTGTTTCTGTTGGTGTTGGCATTAACTAGCTGGATGTAAATTTGAAAAGCCACTCAGAAAGTTTCCTAGTCTAGCAAGTCAGAGGTTTAGATTAGATTTCCGCCATCCCTTCCATTTCTGACCTGTGGTTCTTGTCTGGAATTCTGCTTTGTTATAAACTATTGTTCTAAGGAGTTCGTTGTGATAGCACATAGTTCATTTTGTAAAGATTCCCTGTATATAAAGTGATGCCCTACATGTGTGGCTTTGTATTAAAAGTATATAGGATCATTATTTTATTTTGAAAATTTTAAATACAGAAAAGTATAAAATATAAGTACCATCCACCCAGAAATAACATCTGTTAATGTTTTGTCATATGTGCTTCATAGTTTTTGAAATAAAGTGAAGTCAACTAGTATTTATAGTAAATAAGTTATATACACATAAGTACATATAGGATATTTAATCCTTACAACGATCTTTTGATATGTGACCATTTCTTATTCTTGTTTTACAGACAAGGAACTAATGATATGATAGATTAACTGGCCATTGTCACACTAGCAAGTGGCAAAACAAGGGATTAGGATCTTGGTCTCTTGGACTGTTAGATTCTATACTTCCATCCTGTGTTGACTTTGTTAATGGATTGGATAATGTGAGATCACTCTGATGTAAATAAAGTGTTCTATATTAATTTTGAGTGCATTTTAAGTACTTGTAACATAAATGCTTCCTGTGAAATATCTGTAAAGACCTGAATGGGTACATATGTGTAAAGAAGAATCAGGGCAGAAGAGTGCTTTTATCATGGCTCCAGGGACCTTAGGTTCAGTTGGTGTGAGAATTCCTCACACAAGGACATTCTCCTTCCTTCAGCATCAGGATGGAAGTGTTTCCCATCTGGACTTTTTCAAAGACTCAGCTGAAGGAATACAGAATTCATAATTTCCTGGCAGCTTATGATTCTGCTACACTACACCATGCCATCTCTTGTGTGAAAGGACAAATTTGATGGAGGACTACGTCATCCCTCATGCTTTTCTTATTGTCTACATTTATTCTAATGGGAAGAAGTGAGCAAAAACACCTCAATAATTTGGGTAGTTTTTAGAAAACGTTGTGTTAGTAAATTAGAATAGTGCTACTTTGGCATTATGAGAAAGAAGCCTGGATACATAACTAGGTTTGTGTATGACTACAACAAAATGCAGAATGGTGTCTCCAAAAGGTTTCCAGTTGCTGCCACAAGACCTGCTTGGTATTGCCTACATGTGTTGTCCTATTTTTGCTTTGCCCTTCTGCAGTTACTTGCTGTGGGACCTTGGAGAAATTAACTTAGCCTCTCTGTACTTCAGTTTTTTGTATCTGTAAAATACATTTGTAATAATCTAATAGTTAAGGAGGTAGTTAATGTGTGACTCAGTCCTTGTCTAAAAGTAAATATGCCTAGCTACCCCTATCTTTCAAAGCCAGAAGGTAAAACTTTGACAAGTTTTCTAAAAGCAAATTGTGGGTTTTTTTGTTTGTTTGTTTTGAGATGGGAGTCTCTCTCTGTTGCCCAGGCTGGAGTGCAGTGGCACAATCTTGGCTCACTGCAAGCTCCGCCTCCCGGGTTCACGCCATTGGCCTGCCTCAGCCTCCCGAGTAGTGGGGACTACAGGTGTCTGCCACCACGATCGGCTAATTTTTATTTTTTTTATTTTTTAGTAGAGATGGGGTTTCACCGTGTTAGCCAGGATGGTCTCGATCTCCTGACCTCGTGATCCAACCCACCTCGGCCTCCCAAAGTGCTGGGATTACAGGCGTGAGCCACCGCACCGGGCTGCAAATTGTGTTTTTTTTTTTTTTTTTGAGACGGAGTCTCACTCTGTCGCCCAGGCTGGAGTGCTGTGGCCGGATCTCAGCTCACTGCAAGCTCCGCCTTCCGGGTTCACGCCATTCTCCTGCCTCAGCCTCCTGAGTAGCTAGCTGGGACTACAGGCGCCCGCCACCTCGCCCGGCTAGTTTTTTTTTTTTTTTTTTTTTTTGTATTTTTAGTAGAGACGGGGTTTCACCGTGTTGACCAGGATGGTCTCGATCTCCTAACCTCGTGATCCGCCCGCCTCGGCCTCCCAAAGTGCTGGGATTACAGGCTTGAGCCACCGCACCCGGCCGCAAATTGTGTTTTTTGAAGTGCATGTATCATCCAATCCCATATGATTGATCTGTGCTGGGTGCAGCCTTAGAGCCTAGAATTCTTTTGAATTCTAGGCAGAGAATGCAGGATTGGCATTCTAAATATTTGTACGTGATGAACAAATGCTTCTTTAGGTTAGAGCAAATACTTACATATCAAGATCAAGATCGTTAGATACTGTTGTCAATTACAGAGGTTTTAGATGAGGCTTTCTGGAATGATTTAGTTTCCCTGTAAGGGAATCAGCTCTCCCAGTCTTTCAAGTTGCATGCTTTTTATATCTGTTTGATTCCGTTGGCTGAGCTGATTGTGAATGTCCTAATCCTGTTGATTGTGTCTGGCCACTCGTGGGCAAAGAGCAGATTTATTCCATTCTTTATAGTTATAAAAGACATATAGTCTATATGTTATAAAAGACATATAAAAGACATAGTCTATATGTCTTTTAGTTTTACAATTTGAAAAAACATCTGAGTAGGTTGGATAATTTATTCTACCACTTGTACATGATTAGAATATGTCAGTCATAATCACGCCAAGAGATTATGGATTTATGCATATTTTGTTTTGCTTTAGTACCATTCCTAGTTGAATCTTAACATCCATGTCTAAAATCTATACAGAGCAAATATTACAGTTAGGAGAACTGTTTTAGTCTCCTCTCTGCAAATATGCTTTACATTTATTGGGGAATCCTCTATCCTTTTCCTGATTTTCCTTAAAGTCTTCCCAGGCTGATGGATAACAAACATATACAAGAAACTTGGGGCTTGGGATTCCTCTAGGCTGTTTGTCCTAGAGGAATGCATCCCATCTTGCAAATAGGATGGTCAGTTAAGATGGAAGGAAGCAAAAGTGTGGATAGGAAGGAAGGGCACAAACGGAAAAGTGTGGAGTTTGGGTGTGAGTCCTCTAATGAGGTCAAAGGTGGGAGGGAGGCAAGCATGGAAGCTTCCTGGCACTGTGATACTAATTTCCCCTCCTCTCTCTTTTAAAATCGTGTTCATGCAAAGCCAACACAAATAACTAAATAAAATCTTGTCTTCTGGGAGGAAATGAGACTGATTACAGAGCTGCCACTAAGCCCTGTAGGGTTGGTGGAGACAACCCCATTTTACACATTAGTTCATAGACTTGGTGTGACTTGCTTGAGGTCACCCAGCCACTATGTCAGAACCTGATTTTAAATCCAGGGCTGTTCTTTCCACTGCTATGCAAGATACCTTCTGTTTATATTTTTGAGGGAGACAACAGAGATGGGAAGAATTTTTAACAATAAAGGCAACGGAGGGGATGAATATGCTGATGGGGAAGGAAAGAGGCCCCAGCTTCTGCAGTTGCTTTCTGTTATTCCTAATCCTCTTCTCATCTGGGGGTGCACTGCCTCTCCATTTCTCAAGTATGGGAAATGCCAATAATTCCACTTGTGTTAATTGGCAGTCAGACAACTTGTCCAAAACTGAATTGATCTTACCCACCCCACCAACATTTCAATAATTGCGACCCCAACCTTTCAGTTGCTCAGCTGAAGACTTTGGAGGTATCCTTGATTCTTTTCTCATAACACACATCCAGTGTATCAGTAAGATTTAGAATTCAGTCACTTCTCACCAGCTGCTGGTCCAAGCCATCACAATCCCGGCAAAGTTCTTAACAATGCTCACAGCCTCTCCTCCCCACCTTACCCTTCTGATTGTAGCTGCCATCACTCATCCCCTGCTCACTCCTGCACTCGTCAAAGACCCCAATGCACTTCTAACGGGGCCTTTGCACTTGCAGCTGTCTTTGTCTGAAGAGCTTTTCCCCTAGATATCAGCAGGGTTAACACCCTTCCTCATTCAGGTCATGGCTTAACTGTCTTCTCAGCGAGGACTCCTTTGGCCACCCTACTTTATTTTTTTTTGAGACGGAGTCTCTGTCACCCAGGCTGGAGTGCAAGGTGCGACCTTGGCTCGCTGCAACCTCTGCCTCCTGAATTCAAGTGATTCTCCTGCCTCAGCCTCCCGAGTAGCTGGGATCACAGGCGCTTGCCAGCACACCCGGCTAATTTTTTTGTATTTTTAGTAGAGACGGAATTCACCATGTTGGCCAGGCTGGTCTCAAACTCCTGCCCTCCGGTGATCCATCCCCGCTAGGCCTCCCAAATCACCATGCCTGGGATTACAGGCGTGAACCATCGCACCCGGTCTAGCCATCCTATTTTAAACTGTCAACTTTTCCCCTTCAATGCTTAGTTTTTCTCCACAGCACTATCACCATTTCATATAGTATATGTTTTTCTTCATACTTACTCCCCTTGGAGAAAAACTCCACGAGAGTAAGGATTTTTGTCAGTTTTTCATTGCTATTTCCTCAGTGCTTAGACATGCATCAGGCTCAAAGTAGATGCTCAATGTTTGCTGAATGAACAGCAAGAGCAACGGAAGAGTCCTGAAATACACAGCAAGAAGCAAGGATAACTCTGGCCTTACTTCTGTAGCCAGGGTCTTTTATCTCAACTTTTTAGAGGTAGAAAAACAAGATCGAGCTCCTCAGAACCCAGGTCGACGGCTGCAGAGCCTTCGACCTTCCGAGAGCGAATGGCGATCACTGTTTTCCAGTTCTCTGCGAAGTCCAGCTGGAAGACAATCCCTTTCCGCGCCCCAACTCAGCGGCGGGCATGCCCTGCACCAGAGCGCCCCGCTCCGGCAGCTGTCGCCTGCACCATCCGGAACGTTTCGCCTTGGCCGCAGCGCGAGGCGGAATGACTTCCGGGGCGCCTCTAAAACGGCGGGGCGGAGTTTCCGGCTGAGAGTCCTTCTAGCCGGGCCGGTGAGTCCGCGGGTGGAAGTCTGTGTGGCGCAGAGGTGGGGCAGGCTGCTTGGCTAGGTAGGCGGCTGGGAGGGTTTTCGTGGCGGGGAACGGAGGCTGAACTGCCCTGCCTGTGCTCATAGGGAAGGAGGATGTGAAGGAGCTTGTGAAGGCAGAGGAAGGTAACTTTCGTGTGGGGAGGCGTAGAGTAGGGAGGGGGACTGCAGGCCGTCCCTCCCTAAGTAAAAGCGCGACTTTTAGAAATGATGGTTCAGGGTTCGAGTTTGTGACCCGCTTGAGAAAGTGACCACCCTCTGAGCCTGAATCCCATACCTGAAAAACAAGGACAGTAATCAGCCTTGCCAGTTTCACATAGCTTGGTAGGGTAAGGTGTGAAGAAAAGCTTCTTAAATTGGGATGTTTGGTGCTCTCATTTGTTTCCAGAGAGCATTCCTAGCTCATGTAATGGGAATCACACCAGTAGGCTTATGCTGAGGAATGTGGATTGTTTGGGGTTGGATTCCAGGAAACAGATCACTTAATTTCCCCCAGCCCACCAAGACGGAGTCTCGCTCTGTCCCCAGCCTGGAGTGCAGAGGCGCGATCTCGGCTTACTGCAACCTCCACCTCCCGGGTTCAAGCGATTCTCTTGCCTCAGCCTCCTGAGTAGCTGGAACTACAGGCGCGCGCCACCACGCCTAGCTAATTTTTGTATTTTCAGTACAGACGGGGTTTCACCATGTTGGCCAGGATGGTCTCATCTCTTGACCTCGTGATCCTTCCGCCTCAGCCTCCCAAAGTGCTGGGATTACAGGTGTGAGCCACCCGCCCGGCCTCACTGATATTTTTAAGAAGAAGATGGACTCTTGGGAAATGATAGGCCATTGGAGATCTTTACAAAGTCAATCTTCAAGATGCATGAATCCTTTAAACAGCGTGCATGTTTACAATCAGACTTCCCATTGAACGTCTGCAGTTTTAGGGACCTTAATACCTCCTGTCCAGTCTCTGATTTCCCATTGCAGGCAGCTCTAATTAAGAAGTCCTTTTAGGGCCTTAGTTATAGCCCGGGGCGGTGGGTGGAACCTCCATGGCCCCTCCTAAGTCCGCTAACCACTTTGGGAGGAGGGCCCGGAGGGTAGTGAGCGGACCCAGTTGTGGTTAGGCTGAATTTACCGATGGACAGTAGAGGCCTGGCCAACAGGCTGGTGAAACCCCGTCTCTACTAAAAAAAAGTTAACTGTGGTGGCATGCGCCTTAATCTCAGCTATGCCGGAGACAGAAGAGGCAGTGGAATCGCTTGAACCCTGAGGTGGAGGTTGCAGTGAGCTGAGATCGTGTCACTGCACTCCAAGCTTAGGCGACAGAGCAAGACTGTCTCAGGAAAAAAAAAAGGAAAAAAAAGAAGTCCTTTGATACGATCATCCAAAAGTCTTTCAGTTGCTATTTATTTTTATATTTATAATATATATTATATATTTATAATTATTTCTTTTGAGACAGGGTCTCACTATGTCACCCAGTCTGGAGTGCAGTAGTGAACATGACTCACTGTAGCCTTGACTTGCTTGGGCTCAAGCCATCCTCCCACTTTAGCTTCCCAAGTAGCTGGGACTCAAGTACTCGCCAATTCGCCCAGCTAATTTTTTGATGTTTTGTAGAGACAAGGTTGCCCAGGCTGATCTGAGCTCCTGAACTCAAGCGATCCTTTTGCCTTGGCCCCCCAAAGTGCTGGGATTACAGGTTTGAGCCACTGTGCCCTGCCAAGAATTTGAGTTTTAAAACATTGAGAACGTTATGTGAGTTTTTCATTTTTGAAGTTCGCAATATGTAACAGAAAACAGGGAAGAGCAAAATGTTCAGTTTAGGCTGGGTGCGGTGACTCACGCCTGTAATCCCAGCACTTTGAGAGGTCGAGGTGAGTTGATCACCTGAGGTCAGGAGTTCGAGACCAGCCTGGCCACCATGGCGAAACCCCATTTCTACTAAAAACACAAAAATTAGCCAGGTTTGGTGGTAGGCTCTTATAATCCCAGCTACTTGGGAGGCTGAGGCAGGAGGATCACTTGAACCCGGAGGCAGAGGTTGCAGTGAGCCGAGATCGCGCCATTGCACTCCAGCCTCGGTGGTGAGTGAAACTCTGTCTCCAAACAAAAAACAAACAAAAATGTTCCATTTATGAGCAGATCACTTGAGGTCAGGAGTTCGAGATCAGCCTGGCAAGTCAGGTGAAACCCTGGCTCTACAAAAATACAAAACATGGCGAAACCCTGACTGTACTAAAAATACAAAAATTAGCTGGGCATGGTGGCACGCACCTGCAATCCCAGCTACTCGGGAGGCTGAGGCAGGAGAATCACTTGAATCCGGGAGGCGGAGGTTGCAGTGAGTCAGGAGGTGGTGGAGTGGAGAGGGAGATTGCATTGGGGAGGGTGGAGGTATGATGAGGACATTTATTTATGAATGAATGAATGAATGAATGACAGAGTCTTGCTCTTTCACCCAGGCTGGAGTGCAGTGGCACGATCTTGGCTCACTGCAGTGTCTACCTCCTAGGTTCAAGCAATTCTCCTACCTCAGCTTCCTGAGTAGCTGGGATTATAGGTGTGCACCACCATGCCCTGCTAATTTTTGTATTTCTAGTAGAGATGGGGTTTCACTATGTTGGCCAGCCTGGTCTCGAACTCCTGACCTCAAATGATCTGCTGGCCTCGGCCTCCCAACGTGCTGGGATTACAAGCATGAGCCACCGTGCCTGTTTCTCTCTCTCTCTCTCTTTCTTTCCTTTCTTTTCTTTCTTTTTGAGGTAGGGTCTCACTCTGTTGCCCAGGCTGGAGTGCAGTGACATGATCTTGGCTCACTGCAGCCTCCGTGCCTCCTGGGTTCAAACAGTCCTGTCTCAGCCTCCCTAGTAGCTGGGATTGCAGGCGCCCGTCCCTACCAACCTCCTAGCTAATTTTTGAATTCCTGACCTCAAGTGATCACCTGCCTCAGTCTCCCAAAGTGCTGGAATTACAGGTGTGAGCCAGCATACCTGGCCTGGTTTTGTTTTTGTTTTTGTTTTTTGTGACTCACTGCAACTTCTGCCCTCCAGGTTCAAGCAATTCTCCTGCCTCAGCCTCCCTAGTAGTTGGGATTACAGGCACCCGCCACCATGCCCAACTAATTTATGTATTTTTAGTAGAGACGGGTATCGCCATGTTGGCCTGGCTGGTCTTGAACTCCTAACCTCAGGTGATCCGCACCTTGGCCTCTCAAAGTGCAGGGATTACAGGGATGGAGCCATCGCACCTGGGCCTGGCCTGTGTTTGTTTGTTGTTTTGTTTTGTTTTCAACTTTTATTTTCAGGGAGTACGTGTGCATGTTTGTTACATGGATAAATTGCTTGTTGTTGAGGTTTGGTGTACAAATGATCCCGTCACCCTGGTAGTAAACATAGTACTTAATAGGCAGTTTTTCAACCCTCACTCTCTCTCATTCTTCGTCATCTAGTAGTCTCCAATGTCTGTTCTCATCGTTATGTCCATGTGTACTCAGTGTTTTGCTCCCACTTGTAAATGAGAACATGCTGTATTTGGTTTTCTGTTCCTGTTTTTTTTAGGCCAGAGTGCAGTGGCACGATCTCGGCTCACTGCAGCCTCTCTGCCTTCCAGGTTCAAGCGATTCTCCTGCCTTAGCCTCCCAAGTAGATGGGATTACAGGTGCTCGCCACCACGCCTGGCTAATTTTTTTGTATTTTTAGTAGAGACAGGGTTTCACCATGTTGGCCAGGCTGATTTCGAACTCCTGACCTCAGGTGATCCACTTGCCTCGGCCTCCCAAGTGCTAGGATTACAGGCGTGAGCCACTGCGTTGGGACTCTGTTCCTGTTAATTCAATGAGGATAATGGCCTCCAGCTGTATCCATGTTGCTGCAAAAGACAGGATTTCATTGTGGGGTTTTTTTGTTGTTTTTTTTTGGCTGCTAGTATTCCATGATATATTAGGTACCACATTTTCTTTATCTAGTGCACCACTGATGAGCATCTAAGTTGATTCAGTGTCTTTGCTATTTTGGATAGTGCTGTGATTAACATGAGTGCATGTATACTTTTGGTAGAATGATTTTATTTTCCTTTAGGTATATACCCAGTATTGGGATTGTTGGGTTGACATACATGTGTCCAATAAATATATGAAAAAATGTTCAACATCACTGATCATTAGAGAAATGCAAACCAAAACCACAATGTAAATCAAAACCACGGAACCATCTCACCACCCGTCAGAATGGATATTATTAAAAAGTCAAAAAATAACAGATGTTGGCAAGGTTGTGGAGAAAAGGGAATGCCTATCCACTATTGGTAGGAATGTAGATTAGTTCAGCCACTGTGGAAAGCAGTTTGGAGATGTCTCAAAGAACTATGTTTAATTTTGTGTCCTTTTTTTTGAATTTTGAGCCATAGCATTTACCCATTTATAAATAATAAATGTTATTTCAAAACTTTTGATTATGAGAAAATTCAGACATACACAAAGATATTACAATGAATCACATGTCACTCAGCTATAATAGTTTATACCCATACTGACTCCTCACAATTCTACAGTCATGTGTCATGTGACGCATCTATAAAGCATCTATAAAGCAGTTTTGTCATGTGACACATCTATAAAGCATTTTTGTTCTTTTACAAATCATAAAAAGATGCTTTATTAGTACCAAGTTTGTGTATACATGTTCATATTATTTCTTGAAAATGAGAAATGGAGTTCTATGAAGATTTTTAATGACAATTACTGAGTAAAATACAAAGAATAAGATGACCTGGCATTCAATTTTTTTTACTTTATATATGTGTCTAATTTTCAAATTTAATTGGATGCATTTTGTAACAAACATCTTTAGATAACTTACCTTCTAATGATTTTTATAGATTACTGAATAATAAAATACAGTTTTGAAAAAATGGATGAAGAACCTGAAAGAACTAAGCGATGGGAAGGAGGCTATGAAAGAACATGGTAAGGAGAGCATTATTGCCCTGTCTTTTCTTTTAGACATTGTCTTTTTTTTTTTTTTTTACAACTTTATTAAAGTATATTTTACATTGTTAAAATTCACTCATTTCCAATGTACAATTCAGTGATTTTTTATTAATACTTTACTGAGCTGTGCAGCCATTATCATAAACCAGTTTTAGAACATTGTAACCACTCCAGTAAGATCCTTCATGTCCATTTACAATTAATTTAATCTGGATTTAATTCCACCTGTAGGCAATCATTAGTCTACTTTTTGTCTCTAAATTTTAACCTTTTCTGGACATTTCACAAAAATGTGATCATATACAATCATGCGCTGCATAATGATGTTTTGGTCAAAGATAGACTGTATATATATATGACAGTGGTCCCATAATATTATAATACAGTATTTTTACTATACCTTTTCTATGTGTGTTTAGATACACAAATACTGACCATTGTGTTACAGTTGTCTTTAATATATTCAGTATAGTAACATGCTGTACCGGTTCATAACCTAGGCGTGGGGTAGGCTATACCATCTAGGTTTGTGTAAGTATACCCTGTGATATTCACACAATAATGAAATCACCTAACAATGGATTTCTCAGAACGTATCCCTGTCAGTAAGCAATGCATGACTTATTATAGCATGGTGGTCTGCTGTGGCTGGCTTTCATTTATTTCTCATCCATGTTGCAGCATGTATTGATACTTCATTCCTTTTTTATTGCTGAATAGTATTCCCATCTATGGTTATGCCACATTATTGTTTATCCATTCACTAGTCTGTGGATATTTAGGTTCTTTACGGTTTTTGGCTGTTAGGTAAATGCAGCCATGAGCACTCACATGCAAATCTTTGTGTGGACGTATATTTTCATTTTATTTGGGCTAGTAATCATTTTAGCTTGTCTTTTCAAACAAATAATTATGACTTATAGGGAGATTCTTAAAGAAGATGAATCTGGATCACTTAAAGCTACAATAGAAGACATTCTATTCAAGGCAAAGAGAAAAAGGTATGTAACCTTCCTATGTATGTTAAAAAGGTAAAATATATTCATTTTAAGCCTTTCTATCTATAAACACTCCTCAGTACTTCACTTCAGCTGTTTCAAGGAAACTGACCTATTGCCTTCTGACTATGGGGAAAGAACTAGCCACCTACCCTTGCCTCAGCAGGAAATGGTCTTTAGAGACTATCTACAATACCTATAATTATGTGTATTGTATTCCATAAGTTAATTATTTACTCCACTAAAAATGCACATTATGACATTCTTAATCAGAATTAGAAAAAAAGAGAAAGCAGGTCAATTGGAAAGTTGTATTTTTTTCGTGTGTTGGGGGGGATAGTATATTGAATTCCATTAAAATGTTTGTGTAATTTTAACAGAGTATTTGAGCACCATGGACAAGTTCGACTTGGAATGGTATGTCATTATTTTTTACTAGTACAGAACTAGTTTAGGTTAGAGAAATATTCTGACTTGCTAGAAAAAACAATAGTGAAATAACAAAGTTGCATTAAAAATATATGCATAGAATATGAAATTATTAAATGCTATTTTTACTAATCAAAATGGCACTTGAGGCTGGGCACAGTGGCTCATGCCTATAATCCCAGCACTTTGGGAGGCCAAGGCAGGAGGATTGCTTGAGCCCAGGAGTTTGAGACCAACATGGGCAACAGAGTGAGACCCAGTTTCTACAAAACAAAACAAGTACTTGAAATTGGCCCTTTCTTTTTTCTGGTAGATGCGCCACCTTTATGTGGTAGTAGATGGATCAAGAACAATGGAAGACCAAGATTTAAAGCCTAATAGACTGACATGTACTTTAAAGGTAAAATTTAAATTTATACTAAATCATTTAAATTTATACCAAAATCACTTAAACTTCTACTAAGAAAGTGGGGAAGAACACTGGATTCTAAAGGATATTTTTAAAGAATGCAATATTTTTTATTTTTTGCCTTGTATTTTTAGTTAGTACTAATGATAGCTAAGTAGAAGTACTGCCAGGTCATTTAGGGAAATTTTAAACCAACATAGCTAATTATTTGTGTTTTTAATTTCTATCCTCCCACCCCACGTCAGGATCTTGGTTTGTCAGTTATCCCTTTTCTTTATTGAATCTTCATTCTCCTTTGCCTTACTTAAATCTGTCTCCTCAGATTACAAATATGTTCATATTATTCCTAATTTATCAAAACCTATTCTCAATTCTGCTCATTCTCCCATCTCTCTTCATTGGATCTTTTCCTCGTTGAAATTTTTTCTGACACATCCAAATGGTTCCATCTTTTAAAACCTAGCTCAAACCTATCTCATTACCCACCATTTCAAATTAAAGTTTTTACTGTTTAATATTTTTATTACTTAAAATTTTTTGAAAATCTGTAAGTTTAAAAGTCATAAGAAGTGATGCTTGAAACATCACTTGGACATGTTCTTTATGATTGTTATTTTGCCTTTATCTAGTATGTCTTTTTTTATTTAAACAGTTGTTGGAATACTTTGTAGAGGAATATTTTGATCAAAATCCTATTAGTCAGGTACGTATATAAATGATAGAATTCAGAATTAGATTCATGTTTTGCTTCCAAATGTAATTTATTTTTAAAAATTGGACATGTATTTTGTGAATTACCCAAATTGTTTAACCAGTTTCCGGTATACTTAAAAATGAAAAGCATAATAACTCTAAAAGTTAAACAATGTATGGTGAACTCATAGCTAAATTTATTTGCCAAAAACACCATGAGAAAAAGTTTCTCACCTGTTGCTTCTTTCTTTTGTAATTACTAGTTTATTTTAGCTATGTAAATTTTTTTTTTTCTGCCCCAATATGATCTACAGGAATAGTTATATATATTCTTAATGGGAAGAAATAACTTGTTAGATTAATAATAATTTTTGTTTTTATTTCAAGATTGGAATAATTGTGACTAAGAGTAAAAGAGCTGAAAAATTGACTGAACTCTCAGGTATGCATAAAATTACCTTTACATGACTCAAGGACTTTGCTTTATTTACCCAACCTCGTAGCCCTGTTTGTATGTCTGCTTAATAAGTAACGTGAAGGGTTCCTCAGTCTTCTCTAGGGGAAACAATAACATTTCCCCCACCATTATATTCTTAGGATACAAGGTTAACTATTCTAAATTGAGTTCTTCATAGTGGCAAATAATAATTACATTGAATATAAATGTTTTTATTTAAAATCTATATGTGCTTATCCTGAAATTTTTTTTTCTTTCTTTCTTTTTTTTTTTTTTTTTTGGAGACGGAGTCTTGCTCTGTCACCAGGCTGGAGTGCAGTAGCGTGATTTCGGGTCACTGCAAAGTCCGCCTCACGGGTTCAAGGGATTCCCTGCCTCAGCCTCCTGAGTAGCTGGAACTACAGGTGCCTACCACCACACCATGCTAATTTTTTGTATTTTAATAGATATGGGGTTTCACTATGTTGGCCAGGATGGTCTTGATCTCTTGACCTTGTGATCAGCCCGCCTCGGCCTCTCAAAGCACTAGGATTACAGGCTTGAGCCACCGCACCCGGCCTTATCCTGAAAATATTAAAATACAGTTATTGTAATCATTTATAAAATCCAGTTAATCTTAAATTCTTAAAAAGTTAAGCATCTAATTTAAAAGGGAAAAAGTATAAAAATTAAACTGTAGCTATTGCTAATGAATCAATTTTTCTGCTTCCATGACATACCTAACTGAATTTTAGTTGCAAAACGTAGTAATGGCATTTTTAAATTTGCTTTGGTATATATGCTGTTACAAATTTGCATCACTGATTCTATTTTATTTTCTGTGAAACACGCTATCCCTTAAATCTGGTTCTCAACCTTTTATCCTTGCCAACACACATAAGGGAAATGACATACTTTCTTCATTAGTAGTTTTTCATTAAATGCAGTGAGGAGTGAAATGTACATTGGCGAGGAGTGAAATGTACATTGGCTTGGAGTGATCCAAGAAACTCAGTTGTGAGTAACCAAAAGAATGTCACGCTAGCTTAGGTGCAGAAGGAACATTTTTGGCTATATTCAAAGATGGGCCAATTCCATATATAGCTGCTGTGTATGTTGGGGTCCTGGCTTTGTCGGGCTTCATTCTCGGATAGATTTTCTGGAAGTTGAAAAGATGTCTCCTTAATTAGTCCCCAGTCTGACGATTGTTACCCCGTCAGGCCGTCATAGCTTCAGGCCACCATCGTTCTTGGGGAGAGAACTCTGATTGGCCTGACTTATGATTTGCCCATCCATGAACAAAGTGGCCAGTGAATGAAGTATTTTGTTTGTATGCTTCGATTGCCTGCCAATGCCCAGAGGAGGATAGAAGTAGGGTCAGCACCATATGAACTAAGCAGGATTATTATGTAGTGGAAGAAGATGGTTCCTCCAAGGTAGGGCTATAGGGTCAATACTTTCCTCTCACTTTACCCACCCCAAATTACCAGCAGTTTTCTTTCTTTCTTTCTGTCTGTCTTTCTTTCTGTCTTTCTTGTCTTTCTTGTCTTTCTGTCTTTCTTTCTTTCTTTCTGTCTTTCGTCTGTCTTTCTGTCTTTCTTAGAAGGAGTCTGTCACTCTGTTGCCAGGCTGGAGTGCAGTGGCGCTATCTTGGCTCACTGCAACCTCCGCCTCCCGGATTCAAGTGATCCTCCTGCCTCCCGCTCCCAAGTAGCTGGGATTACAGGTGTGCACTGCCAGGCCTGGCTGATTTTTTTATTTTTAGTAGAGACAGAATTTCACCATGCCGGCCAGGCTGATCTCAAACTCCTGACCTCAGGTGATCCACCCACCTCAGCCTCCCAAAGTGCTGGGATTACAAGCGTGAGCCACTGTGTTCAGCCCCAGCAGTTTTCTATGGATGTTAGTGAAGTCATATACGTAAAGATGAAAAATACTCTGGAGATTCTGACAGGCCTCCTGAAGCCACCTTTTTTCCTCCAATCAGACCACTGCTGTAAACCACACTGACACTATTGTGGTATGCTTTTTTCCTATACCCATAACACAGTGGGAGATTAAAAATAATTTTGTAGGGTAGGAAGAGAAGTGGATAGAGAGCCAGGAGATCTAGGTTTGGGTGCTGCTGGTCCTGCAGTTAAGTAGGCATATGTCTTTGGGCAAGTCATTTCACTTGTTTAGATTTAGATTAATTTTCTCACTTATGAAGTGAGGGATTTGGTCTGCTTAGTGAGGTACTTTTCATCTCTAAAATTTATGAATCTAAAATACTTGCAGTAAATATTAACTATTACAAATAGTTAATATTTTAAAACTTATTCAGATGAATAATAACTCAAGGGAGCTCCCAAGTTGATGAATAGACAAGACATGATTCACACAGAAAAAAACCCCAGAAATTAAATAAGGGAAACTAGTAATCCAAAAAAACTCCACCCAATTCCATAACATTTTATTTTTTAATATATTTTAAATGAGCAAAATTAAGTTTCAAAAGCAATATGTTGCTTGTGGAACCACAGAGAAACTGTTATTTATAGTGCTGATAGTCTTATAAATTAGTTCAGCATTTTTTAGAACAGCATAAAAATTGTTCCTGAAATTATATTTAGGAAATGTTATGGAAGGAGAATGATCACTCTACAAAAATACTCTTTGTAACATTATGTGTAATAGTGACAGATTAAAAATTAAACGTTTAAAAGTATACTTTGATGGATTATATTTTATGACAAAATCAATTTAATGATTTGATACGAAGACAGTGCTGAAATGGAAAATGTTTACGGAATACTATATTTCATTGAAACTCAGATTCCATCAATTACAGTATACTTTTATAAGCCATTAAGAAGGAAAAGTCGTAGTAGTTAAACTTTGACACAATATCAAATGATATATGAGTTGGCTATACTAGCTTCTTGGTAATTTGACATGTCTGTCACTTTGGGGGCTGGGCGTGGCGGCTTACACCTGTACTCCCAGCACTTTGAGAGGCTGAGACCGGAGGATTGCTTGAATCCAGGAATTCAAGACTAGCCCAGACAACATGGCGAAACCCTGTCTCTACCAAAAATACAAAAAAAAATTTAGCTGAGTGTGGTGCTGGGCACCTGTAGTCCCAACTACTTGGGAGGTTGAGGTGGGAGGATGGTTCGAGCCTGGGAGGTAGAGGTTGCAGTGAGCCGAGATTGCCCCATTACACTCCAGCCTGGGCAACAGTGCCAGATCCTGTCTATAAAAAATTTTTATATTAAAAAGAAAAAGAAGGATTTGGCAACTTCTCCCCCCTTCATTTGAATTGCTTGGCATAAGATAGACCATCTTTTCAGATGCTATTTGGTAAGAGAAGATAACACAGCTTTGTCTATTTGTGGGACTATTCCTTTCTTAGGTCTTGTAAACCTCTTGATTTCTTCCCTCAAGAAAAATACGGGATTGCATGCATTCTTCCATCAATATTTGCTTCATTAATAATAAATTTATGCCTCACTTCTATGTTCCACACCTTTCTACATAAAAATATAGCCTTTTGTATTAACAACCTTTCTAAAAACATTTTATTGTTTGTTTTTTGAGATGGAGTTTTGCTGTTGTTGCCCAGGCTGGAGTGCAGTGGTGTGATCTCAGCTCACTGCAACCTCCACCTTCTGGGTTCAAGCGATTCTTGTGCCTCAGCCTCCCTAGTGGCTGGGATTACAGGTGTGTGCCACCATACCCAGCTAATTTTTGCATTTTTACTACAGATGGGGTTTACACCATGTTGGCCAGGTGCGTCTTGAACTCCTGACCTCAGGTTATCTGCATGCCATGGCCTCCCAAAGTGCTGGGGTTACAGGCGTGAGCCACTGCACCCAGCCTTAAAAACATTTTAAATGGCAGTTAAACTCACCATGAAGAGGACAATGTACATAATGTAATTGAAGCAACAATATGTGAAGACCTATTTGTAGGTTCACATATGAGCAGGCAAAGACTATGTTATAAGTGCTGCTGGCTACCAGTGATTATTAAACACATGCTGATTTCAGAGATGTTAAAATGTGAAAATGTATTCATCTTAAAAATGATGAAATGTGGAAATATTAAGAGTAAAAAAATGCACTCTAGGTTAATATTATCTTAAAATATGTATGCTAGTCTATAAGGAGATTATTTGTATTATGTTTTTCAGTATGAAGTGAGACTATTTACAAAATATTTGAGATAAAATTCCAACAGAAATGCAAATTGAAAGGATTCTGTTCTTTAACATCTTAGATATGTAAATTTTGAGAGAAAGAAACTTTTTTAATATATAGGATTTTATTTAAAGATCTTATTTCTATTTTAGGAAACCCAAGAAAACATATAACATCTTTGAAGAAAGCTGTGGATATGACCTGTCATGGAGAGCCATCTCTTTATAATTCCCTAAGCATGGCTATGCAAACTCTAAAGTTAGTATTATACATTATGTATAATTGAATTAGAAGTTTTTTAAATGAGTTAAGTTGAAATGATGTGTTAATATGGGGCCCATAAACACAGCTATAACAAAATTATTAAGTACGAAAAGTATGTAATGTCATTTATGATGTTTAGTGTGGTGTTGGCTAGTAATTTCTATTTTACATTTTAGTAGGATATTGTTAAAGGTTTTATAAAAATATAATTTAAAACTGTTGGCAATATCAATAGTACAAAAGAAATATATTGGTAAAAAATATTTTATTAAAATGAGATTTAATGTAGTATAATAATTGTAGGTTGGTTGTACCTTTATTAACATTTATTAATTTATTTTGAAAATAATGGCCAAAACCACAATTCCTTCTGCACCAACCTCATATATCTGTAAATTAATAGATATGGCAAGTTCAGCTATGTGGAAGAGAGCCAAGACCCGAAAGGAAATACTTGGTATAGTTAAAGCTTATATATATATATATATATATATTTTTTTTTTTTTTTTCCTCCTCGAGACAGAGTTTTGCTCTGTCACCCAGGCTGGAGTGCCGTGGCATGATCTCAGCTCACTACAACCTCCGCCTTCTGGGTTCAAGTGATTCTTGTGCCTCAGCCTCCCTAGTAGCTGGGATTACAGGTGTGTGCCACCATGCCCAGCCAATTTTTGTATTTTTAGTACAGATGGGATTTCACCATGTTAGCCAGGCTGGTCTTGAACTCCTGGCCTCAAGCGATCCGCTCACCTCAGCCTCCCTAAAGCTTACATATTTTATCTCTGGGTAGTCTGCCCTGGCTCAGACTTTATAACTTTACATAATAGATATTTTTCTAGTTCTGAAGTGGATGAGAAGGAGGTAACACATGTAATAGAGGTAAGTACAGTAGCAGGGTCTACCAGTGAGAGCTGAGAAGATAACAATGAAAACATAAGCAGGTGGCCGGGCGCGGTGGCTCAAGCCTGTAATCCCAGCACTTTGGGAGGCCGAGACGGGCGGATCACGAGGTCAGGAGATCGAGACCATCCTGGCTAACACGGTGAAACCCCGTCTCTACTAAGAAATACAAAAAAACTAGCCGGGCGAGGTGGCGAGCGCCTGTAGTCCCAGCTACTCTGGAGGCTGAGGCCGGAGAATGGCGTGAACCCGGGAGGTGGAGCTTGCAGTGAGCTGAGATCCGGCCACTGCACTCCAGCCTGGGCTACAGAGCGAGACTCCGTCTCAAAAAAAAAAAAAAAAAAAGAAAACATAAGCACGAAAGCTATAACTAACTGATAAAATTGCTGCAGAAAGCATAGAAACATCTATTTAGTATAGGTGAAAACTGGTCACCACAACTTAAAACTCTACAAGCTATCATTTTAATTAAATGGTATACAAGATTAATGTTCGTGATTATTATGACCGAATTACTATGAGGTTTACAGTAATCTCCCCTTATCTGCAGTTTCACTTTCCAGTTTTAGTTATTCTTGGTCTGAAAAATATTAAATTGAAAATTTCAGTAATAAATAATTCATAAGATTTAAGTTGTATGCCATTCTGGGTAGCGTGATGAAATCCTACACCTTCCTTCTCTGTCCTGCCCAGGATGTGAATCATCCCTTGGTCCTGTAGATCCACACAGTATATGCTGCCCACCCATGTAATGGCCTAAGTCATCAGATTAACTGTTATTGACTGTCAAAACTATTGCAGTGTTTGTGTCATTTTACTTAATAATGACCCCAAAGTGCAGGAGTAGTGATGCCAGCACATTGTTTTAATTGTTCTATTATTAGTTATTATTGTTAATCTCTTACTGTGCCTAATTTTTATACATTAAACATGATCATAGGTGTGTATGTACAGGCATACCTCATTTTGTTGCACTTTTATTACACTTTTCAGATAACTTTTTTTTTTTTTTAACAAGCTGACAGTTTATGGCAACTCTGTGTTGAGCAAGTCTGTTGGTGCCATTTTTTTTAACAGCATGTGCTCACTTCATGCCTCTATATCACACTTGGTAGTTCTTGCAATATTTCAAGCTTTGTAAATTATTGTTATATCTGTTATGGTGATCTGTGATCAGTGATCTTTGATGTTACTATTGTAATTATTTTAGGGCACCACAAACTGGGCCCATATAAGACAACAGACTTAATTGATAAGTATTATGTGTGTTCTGACTGCTTCACCAACTGGCTGTTTTCCAGTCTTTCTCCCTCTGTTCGGGCCCCCCATCTCCTAAGACAAAAAAAAAACTCAAATTACACCAATCATAACCCTACAGTGGCCTCTGATTGTTCAAGAGAAAGGAAGAGTCGCATGTCTCACTTTAAATCAAAAGCTAGAAATGATTGAGCTTAGTGAGGAAGGTATGTCAAAATGCAAGACAGGCTGAAAGCTAGGTCTCTTGTGCTAAACACAGTCAAATTGTGAATGTAAAGGTAAAGTTCTTGAAGGAAATTAAAAGTGCTTGGCTGGGCCTGGTGGCTCTTACCTGTAACTGCAGTACTTTGGGAGGTTGAGATGGGAGGATTACCTGAGGCCATGAGTTTGAGACCAGCCCTGGTAACATAGCAAGACCCCCATCTCTACCAAAAAAAAAAAATAGCCAGGCACAGTGGTGAGCACCTGTAGTCCCTAACTTCTCAGGAGACTGAGCCCAGTAGTTTGAGGCTGCAGTGAGCTATGATTGTGCTACTGCACTCCAGCTTGTATGATAGAGCAAGATTCTGTCTCAAAAAAAGAAAAACATAATGGAAATTCAAAGTGCTGCTTCAGTGGACACATGAATGATAAGAAAGTGAAACAGCTTTATTGCTGATATGGAGAAAGTTTTAATGGGCTGGATAGAAGATTAAAGTAGCCATAACAGTCCTTTAAGTCAAATCCTAATCCAGAGCACGACTCTAATTCTCTTCAATTCTATGAAGGCTGAGAGCAGTGAGGAAGCTGCGGAAGAAAAGTTTGAAGCTAACAGAGCTGAGCTCATGAGGTTAATGAAAGAAGCTATCTCCAAAACCAAAGTGCAAGAGGGGCCAAGCACAGTGGCTCAGGCCTGTAATCCCAGCACTTTGGGAGGCCGAGGTGGGCGGATCATGAGGTCAGGAGTTCGAGACCAGTCTGGCCAACATAGTAAAACCCTGTCTCTACTAAAAATACAAAAAATTAGCCAGACGTGGTGGTGTGCACCTATAATCCCAGCTACTCAGGAGGCTGAGGCAGGAGAATTGCATGAACCCAGGAGGCGGAGGTTGCAGTGAGCTGAGATCGTGCCATTGCACTTTAGCCCAGGCGATACTGTGAGACTCCGTCTCCAAAAAAAAAAAAAAAAAAAAGTGCAAGAGGAAGCAGCAAGTGCTGATGTAGAAGCTGCAGCAAGTTATCCAGAAGATCTAGCTAAAATAATTGATGAAGCTGACTACACTAAATATTAAATTTTCTTTTTCTTTTCTTTTGTTGTTGGTTTGTTTTTGAGACAGGGTCTCGCTCTGTCACCCAGGCTAGAGTGCAGTGGTGCAGTAATGGATCACTGCAGCCTCAAACTCCCAGGCTCAAGCTATTCCCCCAGCCCCCCAAGTAGGAGGGACTACAGACATGTGCCACCACACCCAGCTAATTTTTGTATTTTTTGTTGTTGTTGTTTTTGTAGAGGTAGGGTTTCGCCACATTGCCCAGGCTGGTCTTGAACTCCTGGGCTCAAGCAGTCCTCCTGCCTCTGCCTCCCAAAATACTGGGATTACAAGCGTGAGCCACTGCACCTGGCCTCTTATTTTCAATGTAGATGAAACAGCCCTCTGTTGGAAGAAGATGCCATCTAGGATTTTCATAGCTAGAAGAAGTGAATGCTTGGTTTCAGAGCTTCATGGGATAGGCTTCCTCTCTTGTTGGGGGCTAATACAGCTGGTGACTTGATGTTGGCACTAATGTTTGTTACCATTCTGAAAATCCTAGAGTCCTTAAGAATTATGCTAAATCTATTCAGTCTGTGCTCTGCAAATGGAATAACAAAGTCCGGATGACAGCACATCTGTTTACAGCATGGCTTACTGAATATTTTAAGCCCATTGTTGTGATCTATCTCAGAAAAAAGATTTATTTCAAAATATTACTGCTCACTGACAATGCACCCAGTCACCCAAGAGCTCTAATTGAGATGTACAAGGAGATTAATGTTATTTTCATGTCTACTAACATAGCACTCATTCTGCAACCCTTGGATAAAGGAATAGTTTGAACTTTCACATCTTGATTATTTAAGAAATACATATCATAAGGCTGTGACTGCCATAGATGGATCTGGGCAAAGTACACTGAAAACCTTCTGGAAAGAATTCACCATTCTAAATGCCATTCATGGAAGGAGTTCAAAATATCCACACTGGCTGGGTGTGGTGGCTCATGCCTGTAATCCCAGCACATTGGGAGGCCAAGGCGGGTGGATCACTTGAGGTTAGGAGTTCAAGACTAGTCTAGCCAACATGGTAAAACCCTGTCTTCACTAAAAATACAAAAAGTATCTGGACATGGTGGCGCATGCCTGTAATCCCAGCTACTGGGGAGGCTAAGGCAGGAGAATTGTTTGAACCCAGGAGGTGAAGGTTGCAGTGAGCCAAGATTGTACCACTGCACTCCAGCCTGGGTGACAGAGCAAGAATCAGTCTCAAAAAAAAAAAAAAATACCCTATAAACTTAGTTGATAAAGCATCAGTGGGGTTTCAAAGGAATGACTCCCATTTTGAAAGAGGTAATACTGTGAATAAAATGCTATCACCAGCATTTGCATTCCTTTCATTAAAGGAAGGGTTGACCCATGTAGCAAACTACTTTGTCTTATTTTAAGAAATTGCCATAGCCACCTCACCCTTCAGAAAGCACCACTCTGATCAGTCAATGGCCATCAACATCAAGGCAAGACTCTCCATCAACAAAAAGATATTATTCACTGACAGCTCTGTTGATTTTTAGCAGTATTTTTCATTAAGGTGTGTACTTTTTTTTTAAGATATAATGCTGTTGCACACTTATTAGAGTACAGCATAGTGTAAACAGAACTTTTTTTTTTTTTTTTTGAGATGGAGTCTCATTCTGTCACCCAGGCTGGAGTGCAGTGGCACGATCTCGGCTCACTGTAAGCTCCGCCTTCCGGGTTCACACCATTCTCCTGCCTTAGCCTCCTGAGCAGCTGGGACTACAGGCGCCTGCCACCACGCCCAGCTAATTTTTTTGTATTTTTAGTGTAGACGGGGTTTCACCATGTTACCAGGATGGTCTTGATCTCCTGACCTCGTGATCCACCTGCTTCAGCCTCCCAGAGTGCTGGGATTACAGGTGTGAGCCACCACCCCTGGCTGTAAACAGAACTTTTATATACATTAGGAAACCTGAAAGTTCATGTGACTTGCTGTATTGCAAATATTTATTGTGATATTTGCTTTATTGCTGTGGTCTGGAACCACCCCTGCAGTATCTCCAAGGTATGCCTGTATTGGGAAAAACATGGTATAGTCAGCCCTCCGAATCCTGGGTTCTGCTTCTGTGAATTCAATCAACCACACATCGAAAATATTTGGAAAAAAATTGTACCTGTACTGAACAAATAGACATTTTTTCTTGTCATTATCCCCTAAAAGGGGATAACAATTATTTACATAGTATACATTGTATTAGGTATTATCAATAATCTAGAGATGTCTTAAAACATGTGGGAGGATGTGTATAGGTTATATGCAAATACTATGCCATATTGTATCTGGGACTTGAGTGTCTGCAGATTTTGGTATCCGTAGCAGGTCCTGAAATCAATCCCCCAAGGATACCGAAGGATGACTGTATATATAGGGTTCAGTACTATCCTTGATTTCAGTTATCCATTGGGGGTCTTGGAATGTATCCTCTGCAGATAAGAGGGGACTACTATATAGTCTTTGAGAAAGAAGTGTGTGTTACTATTTTGAAGCCACATCTATATACTTTAAAGCTGATCCATATGATATTGCCACTTTTTAAAGTTTATCCATATATTGTTGTATTTCTTAGTGTATACTTTAGACTTTGTATGAAACAAGCCACTGGAATGTAAGCTTCATGATGTCGGGAACATTGTCAGTCTTGTTTATCACTCTATCCCCAGAACTTGAGTACTCAGTATTTATTAAATGAATCAATTATCAATTTTTTGAAGTGCGTAGTTCATTTTAGAAAAATTTACATTGAAGTGTTTAAAATATACTCACAACCTTTCCTTGCATTATTGAAACAAATGGGGTATTCTATAGTCTAAATGTGTATTCCTATGTTTACTATTCTTTTCGGGTAAATTTTTTGGTAGTGTAATTTGTTGTACCTAATTGGAGTGTATTTTATCTTTCTTTTAAGACACATGCCTGGACATACAAGTCGAGAAGTACTAATCATCTTTAGCAGCCTTACAACTTGTGATCCATCTAATATTTATGATCTAATCAAGGTAGACCAAAAAATCAAAACCAAAGTTACAACTCTAAAGAGAATTCTGTAGCAAATTTGTTTTTTTATATATATATATTTGTGTGTCTAATTCATCTTTGTGGTAGATGTAGTGAATTTATTACTAGTTTTCAGAGCATTCTTTATATTTCAAATACATTAATTCTTAAATGTTTTTCTTCTTCCCTAAAACTATCTATCTACTTGGATTTTATGAAGACCCTAAAGGCAGCTAAAATTAGAGTATCTGTTATTGGATTGTCTGCAGAGGTTCGCGTTTGCACTGTACTTGCTCGTGAAACTGGTGGTATATATATAATTTCTTTAATATTTGCTCATAATTACTGTGTAGGAAATAATTTATTAATTAAATTAGGATGTTTTAATCTGTTCTGAGCTACTAAAAGTAGTCTAAAATATGGGCAGTCATCTTAAATATATCATTGATTCTGTAAGAAATCATCTCAAAATGCAAAGAGTTTTCAGTACTTATGTCAATATTTAGAGGAAGTAGTATAACTCTTGGAAAGCTGGAAATTTTACTGTATGTAATTCTTTATAAAGATTTTATAACTTGTCTTTAATTAAATTCTAATTACAGGCCAGGCATGATGGCTCTGCCTGTAAGCCCAACATTTTGGTAGGCCAAGGCAGGAGAATCACTTGAAGCCAGAAGTTTGAGATCAAGGCTGATTAACATAGTGAGACCTGTCTCTATTTATATGTTAAAATAATAATAATAGTAATAATAAATTGTAATTACAGTTATTCCTAGAGAAGTTGGTTTAGATGTATTATTTAAATAAGGTTTTAAAAGTGATAATTTAGCTGAAATCATTATTTTGAAAATGTACATTTTCAGATGATAAAACTTTTACAGAATTACATAGAACGTATACTTGGTTATGTCTATGAAGCTGTTTTTTTTTTCCTTTTCATCTTGTTAGGCACATACCATGTTATTTTAGATGAAAGCCATTACAAAGAGTTGCTCACACATCATGTTAGTCCTCCTCCTGCTAGCTCAAGTTCTGAATGCTCCCTTATTCGTATGGGTAAGTGTTTTTATGTTTTTAAAAAATATATATCTAGGCTCTCTATTTTTATTTGCACAAGTTATTTTAATATTTAAGAATTTTTAAAGAAAAAATATGCTTGTTGAAGCAATTTTGGAAAGTACAGAGAAGTAAAAAAAAAAAAAAAAAAATTAAAACTACCAGTAGTCCTGTCACCCAGAAAATACTGTTGGCTTTCTTTATTTTTAAGGCTAGAAAGGTATAAACTGTGTTTATAGAAAAATACTTATATTAAGCTGGACGTGGTGGCTCAGACCTGTAATCCCAGCACTTTGGGAGGCCAAGGTTGGCGAATCATGAGGTCAGAAGATCAAGACCATCCTGGCTAACACAGTGAAACCCCATCTATACTAAAAATACAAAAAATTAGCCGGGTGTGGTGGCAGGTGCCTGTAGTCCCAGCTACTCGGGAGGCTGAGGCAGGAGAATGGTGTGAACCCAGGAGGCAGAGCTGGCAATGAGCCGAGATCGCGCCACTGCACTCTAGCCTGGGTGACAGAGCAAGACTCCGTCTCAAAAAAAAAAAAAGAAAAGAACAAAAAAGAAAAATACTTACATTAAGAAATGTTTTAAATAAGCTACAAAAGCCAGGCGTGGTGGCTCATGCCTGTAATCCCAGCACTTTGGGAGGCCGAGGCTAGCAGATCACCTGAGGTCAGGAGTTTGAGACCACCCTAGCCAATATGGCGAAACCCTGTCTCTACTAAAAATTACAAAAAATGGCAGGGCATGGTGGCAGATGTCTGTAATCCCAGCTACTCAGGAGGTTGAGGCAGGAGAATCGCTTGAACTCAGGAGGCAGAGGTTGCCATGAGCTGAGATTGCGCCACTGCACTCCAGTCTGGGTGGCAGAGCGAGACTGTCTTAAAAAAAATAAAAATAAAATAAGCTACAAAATTCTCTGTACTGTATGATCAAAGCTGTGTAATACAAACTGTGCAAAGACAAAGCTTGCAGGGAAGTACACCAAATTGCTCAAAGGAGGGGAAATTATTGGTTTTTGATCACTTTTTCTTTCTTTCTTTTTTTTTCTTTTTTGAGATAGAGTCTCACTCTATTGCCTAGGCTGAAGTGCAATGGCGCGATCTCAACTCACTGCAACCTCTGCTTCCTGGGTTCAAGTAATTATCCTGCCTCAGCCTCCCAAGTAGCTGGGATTATGGGCGGGCACCACCACACCCAGCTAACTTTTGGATTTTTAGTAGAGACGGGGTTTCAGCATGTTGGCCAGGCTTGTCTTGAACTCCTGACCTCGTGATCCGCCCGCCTCAGCTTCCCAAAGTGCTGGGATTACAGGCGTGAGCCACTGCACCCGGGCTTGGATGACTTTTTTAAAATGTTATTTTCTTCTATTTTACAAAAATGTTGCAATGAAGATTTATTACATTTATATTGAAAAAAGGTATAACTTTTAAATAGAAAAAGAATCTCCTTATTTAATATATATATTTTTAAATGTTAATTAAGTAGGATGCTTTTCTACTTTTGGCCTTTTGTATTACTAGTCGACCTCTTTTTTCCACGGTCTTCTCATGTGTTTAATGATGTTAGTTAACTACCTTATTGTGTGTTGCAAGGATCGAGTTAATACAGATGGTGCATTTAGAATAATGCTTGATGTAAACATTCAATACATTTTAGATCTTATTTAGCTAATCTTTTTGATTTACTGATATATATTCTTATTCCATTTTAAATTTATAATTTGTTTGTTAGAGTCCTTTAGGAATATTAACCTTTTCTTTTTTTTTTATTTTTTTTTTTTTTTTGAGACAGAGTCTCGCTCTGTCGCCCAGGCTGGAGTGCAGTGGCCGGATCTCAGCTCACTGCAAGCTCCGCCTTCCGGGTTTACGCCATTCCCCTGCCTCACGCCATTCTCCTGCCTCAGCCTCCTGAGTAGCTGGGACTACATTTGCTGGGACTACAGGCGCCCGCCACCTCGCCCGGCTAGTTTTTTGTATTTTTTAGTAGAGACGGGGTTTCACTGTGTTAGCCAGGATGGTCTTGATCTCCTGACCTCGTGATCCGCCCGTCTCGGCCTCCCAAAGTGCTGGGATTACAGGCTTGAGCCACCGCGCCCGGCATTAACCTTTTCTTAGTCACCTGATGCAAATATTTTTCTTGTTGGTTATTTGCCTTTACTTTTATTTATTTGTTTTGATATGTAGATACATTTAAATTTTTTATGTAATATCTCTTTTTAAAAATGGCTTCTGCTTTTCCTGAACATGTTTTCAGAATTTAAAATTATATATGGAAAACAAATTACATGAAAGATTTGAGCATTTCAAAATTTTAAACATAAAAGTATAAACTTAGATAAAATGAAGGTGTACTATATCTTCACTTGTATCAGAAATGATGTAAAAATTACAACCTCTTTAAAAAGTAGTGTTGATCATTATTAAGTTAGAAAATATATAGCTGGGCATGGTGGCGGATGCCTGTAATCCCAGCTACTTGGGAGGCTGAGGTGGGAGAATCGCTTGAACCCGGGTGGTGGAGGATGCAGTGAGCCAAGATAACGCCACTGCACCCCAGCCTGGGTGACAGAGCAAGACTCCATCTCAAAAAAAAAAAAAAAAAAAAAAAGAAAAGAAAAAGAAAAATATATATATGAACTTCAGAATCTGAGGTCATATATATAGACAGGTCTTTCCCCTGTTTCCTCTACTTTTTCTTGTAGCTTGGAATTAGTTTCATCATGCTATAATAAGCTTATCTGAAAGGTGGTAAAGTGATATTTTGTACAACTTCGTTGGCTTTTTGATAAGAACATCTTTAGGTTCTTAGTCCTAGAATTCTGCTGTTTGCTTGGAAAAAGAAAGTAATACATTTTCTTCTATGAAGGATTTCCTCAGCACACCATTGCTTCTTTATCTGACCAGGATGCAAAACCCTCTTTCAGCATGGCGTAAGTAAAGACCTTGAAAATATCAGTGATAATGTTTTTACATTTTTAATTCCTTCTTTTAAGTTATAAATTCAAAAGACAGGCAATGAAGAGTATGTCTGTATACTTGTATGGAGTGATCTTCAGGATCTATTACTAAATAAAATAGTAAGTTTGAGAGAATTTTGTAGTATGCTACTGATCACCTAAGAAGAAAGTAGAGATGTAAGTGGATATATTTGCTTGTTTATGTTAATAATAAAAACAGTAGTATGGAAATAATAAAAACTTAAAAGGGGTAGAGGGGGAAGTTTTTTTTTTTTTTTTTATGTTTACCTCAGTGAGTGCGTAGGGAAAAGCAAAGGGATAGACCCTAGACTTTTCTGAATGCATCACTTAATGATAGGGATCTGTTCTGAGAAATGCGTCATTAGGTGATACCATCATTGTGCAAACATCACAGAGTGTACTTACACAAACCTAGATAGTGTAGCCTACTAACATCACAGTTATATGGTATAACCTATTTCTTCTAGGCTGCACACCTGTACAGCATATTGTGTACTGAATAATGTAGGCAGTTTTAATGTAACTCTTAGTGTTTGTGTAACTAAACACAGAAAAGGTGCAACTAAAATGTGGTATTATCTTATGGGACCACTGTCATATGTGTGGTCCATCACTGACCAAAATGTTACATAGAATATTACTGTACCGTGTTTTAACTTCAGAGCTTTGTATTTTACATAATTATAAAACAAAATTAAATTTAAGAGAGTAATTCTTAAAAATCACAAACAAGATTTCTGCCTCCAGCCAAAAAGGTGTAACAGGGACTAGATTTACCCTCCTGTCAAAAAAAGTAGACAAAGTATATAAAACAGTGGTTTTCATACATTGGACAGCAAGCCTTGCGATAATGATCCCTGACAAAAAGGAAACAAATGAGATGGGCCCTAAGAGCACTCCAGCTTACTGCCTGGATGGAATTCCCAGGCTGCAGATGGAGGCTGGAGATGTTGAGTTGAAGAAACAAAGTTCATCTTTCAAGGAGGCTGAGAGGGTGATAATTTTGCAGGTCAGAGTACTGGAGAGGAAAGAGCTGCACAGAGAGAACTCTCTGGGGAGCTGCAGAGACTTGCTCATGAGTCAGCAGCTGAGTGTTGATCAGCACTTTCGTGTGAGGAGACTACTGGAAGTCAGAGAAAGAATCACTGGAAAGCAGCAGACAGAGCAATTCCCAGAGCTCACACAGAGAACATTCATGTTCTCACCAGTCTGTATGGAAATACCTCTTAACATGACAGGCATTGAATAGAGTCCACAGTAATGGGATCAAATTAATTCTATCACAAGAACTGGAACCAGAGGCAAAAAAAAAAAAAAAGAGAAAAATCTAGACTAACAGCTGTTCTGGACCAGCCTAACAAAGCTTAAAAGCAAGTTTTGAAGAGATTAAACTATTTCCAAGTTAATGAAGTATATTCTAAAACAAACCCTTAAATATTTAAGGGAATACAAAAAAAAAAGAAAAAGAAAAAATCCAGCACCCAAAACAAAGCAAAATTCACAATGTCTGGCAAAGCAAAATTCACAATCCCTGGCAGAAATTACCAAGGATGCAAAGGAAAATATGACCCATAAAATGGAGAAAAATCACAGAATGGAAACATACCCAGAAATAACCCAGTTGGTAGAATTAATAGACAAAGGGTTGGGTGCAGTAGCTCATGCCTGTGATCCTAGCACTTTGGGAGGCTCAGGTGGGCGGATCACTTGAGCCCAGGAGTTCGAGATCAGTATAGCCAACATGGTGAAACCCATCTCTACTAAAAACACAAAAATTAGCCAGGCCTGGTGGCGCACGCCTGTAATCCCAGCTACTCAGGAGGCTGAGGTATAAAATACACTTGAACCCAGGAGCTAGAGATGGCAGTGAGCTGAGATCGTGCCATTGCACTCCAGCCTGGGTGACAGGCTTAAAAATAATTAATTAATTAATTAATTAGTAGATAAAGATGTTAGGACAACAATTATATTATAAATGTACTCTGTATGTTCAGGATATTATAGAACATGAGAATGGTAAGAAGAGATATGGAAGGTATAAAAAAAACCCAAATAAACTTCTAGTGATGAAGAATACAGTGTTTTAGATGAAAAATATATTTGCTGGGATTAACAGCAGATTAGACACTACAGAAGAAAAAAGTTAGTGAATTCAAAGATAGTAATAGAAACTTTAAAATAAAAATGAAGGGCTGGGTGTAGTGGCTCACATCTGTAATTCCAGCACTTTGGGAGGCCGAGGCAGGCAGATCACTTGAGACCAGGAGTTTGACACCAGCCTGGCCAACATGATGAAACCCCATCTCTAATAAAAATACAAAAATTAGCTGGGCGTGGTAGCACGTGCCTGTAATCCCAGCTGCTCAGGAAGCCAAGCACGAGAATTGCTTGAACCTGGGCGGTGGAGGCGGTGAGTTGAGATTGCGCCACTGTACTTCAGCTTGGGCAATAGAGTGAGACTCTGTCTCAAAAAAAAAAAAAAAAACTGAAGAGAGGGAAAAAAATGAATGTAGCATAATTGAGCTATAAGACATACAGATTTAAAAATAGACTTTCAGCCCAGGCAGGTGGCTCACACCTATAATCCCAGCACTTTGGGAAGCTGAGGCAGGTGGATCATTTGAGGCTAGGAATTCAAGACCAGCAACATAGTGAGACCCCCATCTCTACAAAAAGTTATAAATTTTTTTTAAATATAGACTTCTTTTTTTTTTTTTTTTTTTTTTTTTTTTTGAGATAGAGTTTCACTCTTGTCACCCAGGCTAGAGTGCAGTGGTTCTATCTCAGCTCACTGCAACCTCTGCCTCCTGGGTTCAAGCAATTCTGCTTCAGCCTCCCAAGTAGCTGGGATTACAGATGCCCAGCTAATTTTTGTATTTTTTAGTAGAGACGGGGCTTCACCATGTTGGCCAGGCTGGTCTTGAACTCCTGACCTCAGGTGATCCACCCGCCTTGGCCTCCCAAAGTGCTGGGATTACAGGTGTGAGCCACTGCACCTGGCCAAAAATACAGACTTTTAAATAGATTTTTAAATAGTGTCAAGATTTTAAGGTCAAGATAATGTGCTTTCCTGCTCTAACTTTTCAGAGTCTTATATATTGCCTTTTTTTCCCCCTCTACAGGCATTTGGATGGCAATACTGAGCCAGGACTTACATTAGGAGGCTATTTCTGTCCACAGTGTCGGGCAAAGTACTGTGAGCTACCTGTTGAATGTAAAATCTGTGGTAAGAAACCAATTATTCATTATTCAGTAAATGTTTAATGACTTATCTGTATTGCTGCTAAAATTAATGTAAATGTTAAGTTATTCCTATGTTTCTGGAATTAATCTGTGCAAAGAAAAATAGATTACTTTTTAAATTGAGTGCCTAGTACTCCACTTCCAGATATAAATGTAGCATTCTAGTTTTCTGATCCTCTTTCTGAAAAAAGTATATTCTTTAAAGGCAGTACAGTAGATCTAGTAGACATTTTTCCATCTCTTACCTTTATAAAGTAAATATATACAAGAATGAATAATTGAACTAATAGAATTGTCTAATTTTATTTCATTTATAAGTAAGCAAATAGACCAAGACAGGTTGGTTACACACTTAGTGACAGAACTAAGATTCCATCATACAATCTTCTGTTATAGCCACAGGTAAAATGAATAACTGCCATCCTAAAAGAAACTGAAAATATTCTGCCAAAGTTACATCTTTTGTCTTTTCAGCTGTTGTCTTCATGAGGTTTGGGCTACTCAACATGTCTCTCTGCTTCATGTGTTAGGTCTTACTTTGGTGTCTGCTCCCCACTTGGCACGGTCTTACCATCATTTGTTTCCTTTGGATGCTTTTCAAGAAATTCCCCTAGAAGAATATAATGGAGAAAGGTATATCAGTTTGGATTAATTTATATCTGTTATAAGTGGTAAGCTAATGTTTGAATAGATTGTTACTACCTTAAAAAATAATCCAATTGGCTTGGACAAGAGTACTTCTAATATGGAAGATGAGGTGAAGAATGTCGTGTTTGTGATTGAAATGACTCATTGTTAAATAGATCTGAATCTCCAGAAACCAAATAATTTCACTAAACCCACGTATGTATAAATAAGGGTAATGATTGTACTACTAAATCAGTTTTCCAGAAGGAAAAGAAAAAAAACCCTGACTGGTAGTATTCACAGATTTCCATGGTTTGAATACTCCCACTATGGCCAATTTTTAGCTACCAATTAACAACCAGCTCTCAAAATCCTTGAATACATATTTAACAATATATCCTCTTGAGCCAGTACAATCCAGTCCTAGCATACTACTGAAAATAAGAGGCTCATTCAGCACTTTGGCAGGCTAAGGTGGGAGGATCACTTGAGGCCAGGAGTTGAAGACTAGCCTGGGCAACATAGTGAGACACCATCTCTTAAAAAAGGAAAAAAAAGCTGGGCACGGTGGTTCATGCCTGTAATCCCAGCATTTTTGGAGGCCAAGGCAGGCAGATCACCTGAGGTCAGGAGTTCAACACCAGCCTGTTCGACCCCATCTCTACTAAAAATACAAAATTTAGCCCAGTGGTGGCGTATGCCTGTAATCCCAGCTACTCGGGAGGCTGAGGCAGGAGAATCGCTTGAACTCGAAAGGCGGCGGTTACGATGAGCTGAGGTCACGCCATTGCACTTCAGCCTGGGCAGCAAGAGCAAAACTCTGTCTCAAATATAAAATAAAATAAAATAAAAATCTGGCATAACATAATTTACCTAAAATCTTTAAGGATTTTTATGAATGGTATTTGTGTGAAATACAACAAATAAAGTCTGAAATAGAGGTAGTCAATCTTTTATAGAATAGTCTTCAGAAAATAAAGATTTACTACTTTTAAGAACATCCAGGATCAGTTGGGCATGGTGGCTCATGTCTGTAATCCCAGCACTTTGGGAGACCGAGGCAGGTGGATCACCTGAGGTCAGCGGTTCGAGACCAGCCTGGTCAACATGGTGAAACACCGTCTCTACTAAAAATACAAATATTAGCCGAGTGTGGTTGGAGGTGCCTGTAACCCTCAGCTACTCGGGAGGCTGAGGCAGGAGAATCGCTTGAACCTCGGAGACGGAGGTTGCAGTGAGCGTGGATCACACCATTGCACTCCAGCTGGGCGACAAGAGCGAAACTCCATTCAAAAAAAAAAAGAACATCCAGGATTTAGGAATCACATTAAATGCTTACTGGCTAGCAGAAGACAATTATGTATCCATCTTTTTTTTTTTTTTTTTTTTTTTTTTGAGACGGAGCCTTGCTCTGTCGCCCAGGTTGGAGTGCAGTGGCCGGATCTCAGCTCCCTGCAAGCTCCGCCTCCCAGGTTCATGCCATTCTCCTGCCTCAGCCTCCCGAGTAGCTGGGACTACAGGCGCCCGCCACTTCGCCCAGCTAGGTTTTTTTTTTTTGTATTTTTTAGTAGAGACGGGGTTTCACCGTGTTAGCCAGGATGGTCTTGATCTCCTGATCTTGTGATACGCTGTCTCGGCCTCCCAAAGTGCCGGGATTATAGGCTTGAGCCACTGCGCTGGGCTTATGTATCCATCTTGCTTTTCACACTTAAATCATTTGGAAGTCATTTAACGTCACCGTATCTAGATCAGTGTTGTTTTTGAAATTGTTGCATATTTCAGGGATAATTATAACCAATTGCTTCCTGTTGGATATAAGATTTTTTTTTCTTTTTGCTATTAACAAATAATGCTTATATCTATATTTTTGAACATTTGTACAAGTATAAATGCATGGTAAATTCCTAGAGGCAAAATTACTGAGTCAGGAGTTTTACATGTTTTGTGAATTGTGATAGATATTGTAAAGTTGTTCTTCAAAGAAGTTTCATTTATTGTTTTCCCACATTTAGCCAACATTAGGTATTATGAAACTTTTTTATATTGGCTAAAACTGACAGACAAAAAAAAAAAAGTCTCATTGTTTTAGCTTGGTATTTATTTGCTTATGGTTGAGGTTAAATGTAGTAGAAAAGAAAAACCCAGTACTATAGAAAATGGAGTTTAAGAAATATTCCAGAAAGTACAATGAAAGGAGTAAAATAAAGAGGTTGAAATAGGAGAGTAAAGATAAGAATACTGGAGATTCATCCAGAAGGTCCAGTATGAGAATAATATGAGGGAGAAAAAGATAGGATAGAAAATCATCAAAGACATAGTTCAAAGAAATTTTCTGTTGAAGGACAGAACTTTCTAGATTGAAAGGTTCTGTTGGCTGGGAAGGGTGGCTCATAGCTCTAATCCTTGTACTTTGGGAGACTGAGATGGGGATCACTTGAGGCCAGGAGTTCCAGGCCAGCCGGGGTCACATAGCAAAACCTCATCTCTACAACAAAGATAAAAGAAAGGGACTGCCAAGTGCCTGACGTATTGAAGGAAGACAGACCCCATAATTGTGAACTTTCAGAATACACAATAAATCCTTAACCCTAAACATTTCCAGAGAGGAAAAACGAGGTCACATACAAAGGATCTGGAATTAAACTTGTTTGGCTTCTCATTAGCAACACTGGATGCAGAGAGGGAGCAGTCACCTTCAAAGTTTGTAGTGAAAATTGTTACCCTTAGATACCCAGCCAAGCTATAGTTAAGTGAAGGTAGAATAACAACATTTTCAGACTTGTAAAGTCTCAAAAAGATATTTTTCTGGGGAAGGTCTGGAAGAGGTAGATGATTCAAAGGAACAGAGAAAGAGAATGACATGGGGTCTAGTAATATGTATCTAATTCAAAACAGGCGGAAGAACGGCCTAGCATGATGGTAAGAAGAAATTCCAGAATGATACCTGTGTGTCACATATGGGGAACAGTCCAGTTTGGAGACAGTCAGAATGCTCCAGGAAAGATATCACCAAGGGGATGAAAACTGCAGAACTCCTGATGTATTTAAATATATTGAGAGGACAGTTATATTATTCCAGAGAAGACTGGGCCTGAATTAGTGTCAATTACATAGGAAACTAACCTTGGGAATAGCAACACAGTATTTCCAGGAAAAAAAAAAAATGTTTTAAATAGGGGAAAACTTATAGCTTAGCTGAGAATATTTTTATAGGCATAGTAAACTAAACATTGATTATTGTTCTATCCAAAAGGAAGACTTAACTATGTAGAAAGAATTGAGAATGACATTAGTTACATATTTATGCATTACTGGGTTCAAGATGGTTGAAAGAGAATTAAATTCTCTTCTTTCGTAGTTGGAGGTTCATAGCCAGTAACTGTGAAGAATCACAAAGTAGCACTTATTAGAATAACTGACTATCAAACAAAAGTTTGAAAGTGCTTGTGACTGGGCACGGTAGCTCATGGCTGTAATCCTAACACTTTGGGAAGCCAAGATGGGAGGATTGCTTGAGCCCAGGCATTCGAGACCAGCCTGGGCAATATCGCGAGACCCTGTCTAAATAAAAACTTAGCCAGGCGTGGAGATGCATGCCTGTAGTCCTAGCTACTCAGGAGGCTGAGGCAGAAGGATCACCAGGAGGTTGAAGCTGCAGTGAGCCATGATAGCATGTCTGCACTCCAGCCTTTGAGACAAAGCAAGACCCTTGACTTGAAAAAAAAGAAAAATAAAGCATGCTCACATTTAACCTTAATGAAAATAAAAACTACATTTTGGGCTGTCAGATGACCTTGTATATACTGTGGAATTTTTTTAAATTTATGGTATCCTTTTTTTTTGTTTTTGAGATGGAGTTTCGCTCCTGTCACTCAGTGTGGAGTGCAATGACACCATCTCGCCTCACTGCAACCTCCGCCTCCTGGGTTTAAGCGATTCTTCTGCCTCAACCTCCCAAGTAGCTGGGATTACAGGCGCCCACCATCACGCCCGGCTAATTTTTGTATTTAGTGGAGACGGGTTTTCACCATGTTGGCCAGGCTGGTCTCGAACTCCTGACCTCAGGTGATCCACCCACCTTGGCCTCCCAAAGTGCTGGGATTACAGGCATGAGCCACCGTGCCTGGCCTTTTGGTATTCTTAACTCTTTTTCCTGAAAGTCATGTGAAGACAAGTACATATTAATTAAAGGATTCTAGTTATTGAGATTTTGCTGAACTATTTTAATGAGTGAATTTTAAGAAAAAACTGATTGTTAAACTTTTTTTTCAGATTTTGTTATGGATGTCAGGGGGAATTGAAAGACCAACATGTAAGTTCATTGGCTTTCTAAATATTAAGTAATGTACAAGAAATACTGAAATAAATGGTACTATAAGTTTTCAACAGGTTGTTAAAGACCAGGCTCATATCAGTTTATTTCTTGTAAAGATAATTAAAATAGGTGGAGGTAAAATGGGAACAAAATAGTTTAAATAGTAGTTTTGTTATTCTGCATTATAATTTTTGCTATAAAGATACTTTGTAATTCATCTCTTTTTTTTTGAGACTGAGTCTGGCTCTGTCACCCAGGCTGGAGTGCAGTGGCACGATGTCGACTCACTGCAAGCTCCACCTCCCGGGTTCACGCCGTTCTCCTGCCTCAGCCTCCCGAGTTTTTGGGACTACAGGTGCCCGCCACCATGCCCAGCTAATTTTTTTGTATTTTTAGTAGAGACGGGGTTTCACCGTGTTAGCCAGGATGGTCTCGATCTCCTGACCTCGTGATCTGTCCACTTTGGCCTCCCAAAATGCTGGGATTACAAGCATGAGCCACCATGCCGGGCTATAATTCATCTTCTTAAAAAATTTTTGGGCCGGGTGCGGTGGCTCAAGCCTGTAATCCCAGCACTTTGGGAGGCCGAGACGGGCGGATCACGAGGTCAGGAGATCGAGACCGTCCTGGCTAACACGGTGAAATCCCGTCTCTACTAAAAAATACAAAACACTAGCCGTGCGAGGTGGCAGGCGCCTGTAGTCCCAGCTACTCGGGAGGCTGAGGCAGGAGAATGGCGTAAACCCGGGAGGCGGAGCTTGCAGTGAGCTGAGATCCGGCCACTGCACTCCAGCCCGGGTGACAGAGCGAGACTCCGTCTCAAAAAAAAAAAAAAAAAATTTTTTTGTATTAAAAGTTTTTAAATATTTTTCTTATTTTTTAAAATTCTTTGATTGTTTTGTCTACTTTGGTACACCCTTGTAAAACATGTAATTTGTCTTTATCTTTCAAGCTAAACTGCATTTAATCTGAAAGTATTTAAAATATTTTCTTCATGTTATACTTTAAGCTGTGTGATAACACATTGAAGTTGTTTAAGGTGGCCACAGATAATAGGTGATTCTTCCATTATGCCAATGAGAAAATATTTTTTCAATTTTGAAGAGGGCCAACTTTAATATATAAACTTGTATAGATGTATATAATATGGATCACTGTCTAGCTTTAATTTTTAATTTAGTTACATGTTCCTATTTAAAACTATATAAATTATATAAAATAATAATTATAAGTATTGCTATTCCACTGTCACAATTTATAATTTTATTAAATTGTATATACCTCTTTGACATCAGTAGCTTCCTCTTTACTGGAACTACTTTTTGAGTCATTTGACAGGTTTTTGGTTTTATTTTCTGAGACGAACTCTTGCTCTGTCACCCAGGTTGTAGTGCAGTGATGCAATCTTGGCTTACTGCAACCTCTGCGTCCCAAGTTCAAGTGATTCTTGTGAGTCAGCCTCCCAAGTAGCTGGGATTATAGGCATGTACCACCATGCCCAGCCAATTTTTGTATTTTTAGTAGAGACTGGGTTTCATCGTGTTGACCAGCTGGTCTTGAACTTGTGGGCTCAAGCAGTCTGCCCGCCTTGGCCTCTCCAAGTGCTGGGATTACAGGTGTGAGCCACCACACCCAGCCTCATTTGAGTTTTTAAGAATAGGTCATTGTCTGTGTTGTTTGAGATTTATTTATTCATTCATTTCGTTTTTATTTTTTTATCCAAAGCCACATACTTCTGAGATTTAGTGATTTTTGAATCTGTGTATGAAGCTGCCCTGGAAAATTTATCCCAAGGCATAAGTACTCATATATGTAATTCTGAAAGAACAAATGTAGTTTTTTCCTTTTTATTTGTCTTATCTGTGTCATTTGACATATTTTTTTGAAAGGTTTACTTGAAAAGGAAATATAACGTTTGCAATTGTGAGGTCATTCCCTAAGAATAATTAAATCTATGTTAAATTTTTATGCTTCTCTTTTTAATTGAATCAATTAGGTGGTCTTGCTAAGCATTCAAAAGTAGCGCTGGTTTGAAGCTCATGTCTTTCCCAAACCTTAGAATGAAATAATTGAGAGTGAACTATAATAGAATAGACTTTAAAGGCTCAAAAACAAAGTCATTCCCTCATTTCTAAGGGATAGTTTGGGGTAAAAAATTAATTGCCTTAGATTTGAGAATATAGAGTACATGGAAGTAATAAAGTAGGTAGTGGGAAAAAACTGGTAGAGATACAAAAGAGCAAAGCACACCTTGAATGTCATCAAGCTGTGCTGTAATTAACTTTTGGAAACTAGTTTATCACTTTTCTTCTTTTCACTACAGGTTTATGTTTGTGCTGTGTGCCAAAATGTTTTCTGTGTGGACTGTGATGTTTTTGTTCATGATTCTCTACACTGTTGCCCTGGCTGTATTCATAAGATTCCAGCTCCTTCAGGTGTTTGATTCCAGCATGTACTATACATTGTATGTGTTGAAAAGAAATTTGCAACTGTGAATAAAATGACTTATTTAGAAGAAGCTTCATTTAAAACATGAAAGGATAATCTGACTTAAGAAACTTTTTGCTAAGAAAAGGTATTATTTTATTAAATTTTAAATTTGTGTTCTGTCACAGAAATACCTGAAATTCAGTAGTACTTCATTCAATTAATTTTGTTTTCTATTATTTTGAGTTATACTGTTTTCAAAGTCATTATGCAGTATGTATAAATTACTTATAATAATTAAATTGATGTGATAATTTTATTTATGTTTTTATAATTAAATACAGAATATGATTTATGTTAATTCATTAATTTAGTGTAAGAAGAAAGTTAAGTCGAAATGTAAATTCAGTGTAAGATGAAAATTTATCAATAGTTATGAAATTAGGCTGGGCACTGTGGCTCAGGCCTATAATCCCAACACTTTGGGAGGCCAAAGTGGGCAGATCACCTGAGGTCCGGAGTTCGAGACCAGCCTGGCCAACATGGTGAAACCCTGTCACTACTAAAAACACACAAAAAAATTGCCGGGCATGGTGGTTCATGCTTGTAGTCTCAGCTACTTGGGAGGCTGAGGCAGGAGAATTGCTTGAACCCGGGAGGCAGAGGTTGCAGTGAGCTGAGATGGTGCCATCCTAAAGTGAGACTCCATCTCAAAAAAAAAAAACCAAGTTATGAAATTAATACATATGAAATGATGTACTGCTACATCCACCAGAGAGGTCTTTTTAGGTTTAACCAAACATTTGGAATATGTTTATCAAGTTAGTACATCTGAAATTATTTGTGGCTCTGACTAACAGAAGTCACTTTAGATTAAACATTCAGACTCACAAGACTGCCATGGCCATACTTGGTACCCGCTTACTCAAAAGGATACTAAACAGAAACAACAGCCTGCCAGCACAGCATCAAGTGGTCCTCATTAGCAGTGGAGGTCTTTGCAGCCGTCCACTGTTACAGTTTAGGTGCAAGGAGATAAGATCCTCCACAGGCATCAAGGAACCAATATCTCTTAACAATTCCATAAACACAGCTTCCAGGGTATCCACAAGGGATGTGTCAATTTCATGAGTCACCACACTCAGGAAAGCCTAAAGCTTGAAGTCTCCATTAGATTATTTATAGTGCATCCCAATCTAGATACTCTAACAATTACGAGTTATTTTTACTATAAGCAAAGTTGCCTAAAATCATAGTTGATACTAACCATGGTTAACAGAGCTCTAAAAGTTTGACAGAAAGTGAGATTCAAATCCTTTCACTCTCATATGCTAAACCTTTTGCTTTACTCTGGGTCATCAGAGAAATTTAGGTGAGAATGTATGATGAAGTCTGTGTTTTAGGTTCAATGCAGATATATCATTATAGGCAGAACTCTTTTCTGGTTTTACCCAGTTAAGAGTAAATCAGGCTTTCATAGCAAAGGTATGTCTATTTTATGTATATGAACTTCAGGTACTCTAGATTGAGTTTCACTATGAAATTTGTGACTTTTTTTTTTTTTTTTTTTTGAGATGGAGTCTTGCTCCGTCACTCAGGCTGGAGTGCAGTGGCGTGATCTTGGCTCACTGCAACCTCCATCTCCCGGGCTCAAGCAATTCTCCTGTCTCAGCCTCCTGAGTAGCTGGGACTACAGACGCCTGCCACCATGGCTGGCTAATTTTTGTATTTTTAGTAGAGATGGGGTTTCACCTTGTTGATCAGGCTGGTCTCCAACACCTGACCTCAGGTCATCCACCCACCTCGGCCACCGTGCCCAGCGGAAATCTGTGATTTTATAACTAACAATTTTTAGTTAAGAACATTATCAGTAAAGACAATATAGTCCCACCCTGGAAAGTCTATTCAATAGATCTTCAGGGGAGCCCAGGAATATGCATCTTTAGTAAGTGTGTGTGCACATGCACACACATACACACACACACAATGTGATTAGAGTAACAGGAGTTTCTCTCAGGAGTCATACTCCATGAGCCTAGACCCAGTGGTTCTTTATGTGGACACAAATTTCAGCTATAGGTTACCTAGTAACTGCTATTTTCTTCCATCTGCTCTGTCAACAAAGGTATCAGTGGCTTGCAGGAGATGCCTTTAATACTCTCAGAGCATTCTATCTCCCCCTATCTGGTTTAGAAGGAAGGCCTTCATTAATTACCTATTGAAAAGTTACTAGAACTCTCTATTAGAGACTCACCTTCTTGACCTGATAAAAAGGGATATCCATGTCTCTGTTAACAGCTTTATCTCTTTCTACAGTTTTGGGTATTTGATAAGGTTAAGACAAAATTTTGCTTATGCTTGAGGAGGAGTTCTTTTTTCACAATTACAGAGAAAATTTTGGTTTGTTAAATATTGCAGAAATAGAAATGGTAATGTAAGACAGTTCTGGCCTTTAATTGTTTTCTTGAAACTCTACAGTATACTACAATATACAATATAGTGAAGGAAACTATTAACATGAGAGATCCTTCTGAATAGGATATCTTTCTGAGTTCCACTATTCAGTTACAAAACTCCTTAATGCTTAAAATTCATTATGAAAATTAGATTTATTTTAAATACTTTCAAGTGTATATATTTTTATTTCATAATTTTTATTCTGTTTGTCTTTGAACTAAAGCATTTAGTTCATTTATATTTACTGTGTACATTTTATATTTAATAAACAAATATATTTATTTATTAAAAGATTACCACTGATATATTTGGGTTTAAATTTATTATCTTTGTGTTATTGGTTCCAACAATTCCATCTTTCCTTTTTTTTTTTAGTTTTTTTAACTGCATATTTGACAGTATCTTTTCCTTCCTGCCTTCTTTTTGATTACTTACTTTCTACCATTCTGTGTTTTCCCTCACTAGTTTGAAAATTGTATACTTTGTTTTTATTCTTTCAGTGGTTACCCTAGAAATTACAACAAACAAAAATTACAACAAGAAATTACAACAAGAAGAATTTCTTTTTTTTTTTCTTTTTTTTTTTGAGACAGAGCTGGAGTGCAGTGGCACGATCTCAGCTCACTGCAAGTTCTGCCCCCCAGGTTCACGCCATTCTCTTGCCTCAGCCTCCCAAGTAGCTAGGACTATAGGCGCCTGCCACCGTGCCCGGCTAATTTTTTGTATTTTTAGTGGAGACAGGGTTTCACTGTGTTAGCCAGGATGGTCTCGATCTCCTGACCTCGTGATCCACCTGCCTTGGCCTCCCAAAGTGCTGGGATTATAGGCATGAGCCACCACGCCTGGCCAACAACAATTTCTTAACTTAAGTCCCCTAGAAAGTAGAACCTGAGGCAAAGATGAAAGTGTTGTTACTTTATTAGGAAGGGGCAGATCTAGGGGGGTGAGAGTGTGGAAGAAAAGGGAAAGCAAGGCAAGGAAAAACGTGATGCATTGCGTTACTGCAGTGGCTGGACTTCATGACAAGCTGTGACGAGATACAGGAGCCTCCCAGCAAGTGTGTTCACTTAGAATGTGGGGCTTCTCCAGAAGGTTTATAAGGAGAAACTGCCCCTCTAAGCAGTCCATTGAAGGGAGGAAGGAGAAGTAACTCACTTTTCTTAAGTTCTTCCATTTCCCATTGATCCTAGTTTGCCCACAGGGCTGTGTCATATCCTGTGGTAACTGCTCAGGAAGCCAGATCTCGTGCTCAGTGGTGTGGCATTGCATCCGCCTCTAGAAGGATTTCTCAATACTTTATAACTTCCTCATGTTTGTGGTCATGTCTGTGTTCAGCTGTATCTCTAGAATGGCTGGCAAATTCGTAGCATGAAATGATTTCATGAGTGGTGACAAAGAAAGGGTGCAGTCAGCCCTTGGGAAGTGGGTGAGTGGAACCCCAGTCTGGAGGCCATTAGTGGGTGGCAGAGTTTAGGAGAAAAGGTAAGAAGTTTCAGTCCTTGGGCCCTGTAGTAAGGAGAAAAACGGTACAGGAGGTTGTCACATTTCTGAGAAGTAGTCTTAGAGTGCCCTAGTACCCGCTTTGGATCCAGTTCTGTAAGGGCAGAGGATTCATTATTTCCAGGTAATCTAAGTCTGTTCTGGGGAGAAGTATTACAAGATGCACTGGGAACTCAGCTGGGATCCTGAAGGGATTTAAATTATTGATTTCACCTGACTGAATTGCTATTTGTGTCACACCTCAGGACTCTGGAAACAATACACAATTTGCCCATTCATTCATTTATTAATTCACTCAACAAACTTGTACATCTGCCGTAAGTCTGACACAATCCTAGTTATCAGGGATGTAGATACTCAAAAGAAGTAAACCTAACCTCATGCATCTGTGAATCTCCCCATCTGAAAAGACACAGCCTTGTAAAGAAGCTTGTGTGGAAGCGCTAACGACATGCCAAGTGTTGTGGGGATGCAGGAGAGGTGTGGTAAAGTGGGTTGGGAGGCAGCTCAGATGTCTAAAGGGGTCAGGCAGACAATGCAGATAAGTGAAAGGGGGCCAGTTGATGCACAGTGGGGACATCTGGAAAGCACCCATCCCATCTAAAGGAGGCAGCCTCTGAGAGGCTGGGGATCAGGGATAGAAGGGAGATGTACTTTTCACTGTAGATCCTTTTGTATCTTTTAAATTTTGTTACTTAATTCAAAAAAATGTAAAAATAAAGATTTTAAAGTGAGGTAACCATTATTTGGCCCCAGCCTATTTTTTTCTTCTGGGAATGATACTTAAACTAAAAACTGGAATTTTTTTTTTTTTTTTTTTTTTTTTTTTTTTTGAGACAAAGCCTTGCTCTGTTCCCCAGGCTGGAGTGCATTGGTACAATCATGGCTCACTGCAGTCTCGACCTTCCAGACTCAAGTGATGGTCCCACCTCAGACTCCCTAGTAGCTGGGACCACAGGTGTGTGCCACTGTGCCTGGCTAATTTTTAAAAAAGATTTTTTTTTTTTAGAGACAGCGTCTTCCTATGTTGCCCAGGCTGGTCTTGAACTCCTGAGCTCAAATAATCTGCATGCCTCCGTCTTCCAAAGTGTTGGCATCACAAGCTTGAGCCACCGTGCCCAGCCGTAAAAACTGGATTTTTAAAGTGAATTCTCCCAAGTTTGAGATGTTGGCATCTAATTTAGAAAAACACAGAGGCTAAATATCTTCAGGCCACCAGTTTACAAACTTTGGCCTGGCCTGTCTCTTTTCTATCACTTATCATCAGGGCAGATATTCTTTTTTTTTTTTTTTTTGAGACGGAGTCTCGCTCTGTCACCCAGGCTGGAGTGCAGTGGCCGGATCTCAGCTCACTGCAAGCTCCGCCTCCCGGGTTCACGCCATTCTCCGGCCTTAGCCTCCCGAGTAGCTGGGACTACAGGCGCCCGCCACCTCGCCCGGCTAGTTTTTTGTATTTCTTAATAGAGACGGGGTTTCACCGTGTTAGCCAGGATGGTCTTGATCTCCTGACCTCGTGATCCGCCCGTCTTGGCCTCCCAAAGTGCTGGGATTACAGGCTTGAGCCACCGCGCCCGGCCAGGGCAGATATTCTTATAAGTTTCAGGTGTTATACTTTCCTGGGATATACTCCTCTTAGGGGATAATTTATTTATTTTTTGTTTTTGTTTTTGTGACAGAGTCTCGCTCTGTCAACCAGGCTAGAGTGCAGTGGCACAATCTTGGCTCACTGCAACCTCTGCCTCCTGGGTTCAAGCGATTCTCCTGCCTCAGCCTGCTGAGTAGCTGGAACTACAGGCGTGCACCACCATGCCTGGCTAATTTTTGTGTTTTTAGTACTGACAGGGTTTCACCATGTTGGCCAGGCTGGTCTTGGAACTCCTGACCTCAAGTGATCCACCCACCTGGACCTTCCAAAGTGCTGGGATTACAGGCGTGAGCCACTGTGGCCAGACTTAGGGGATAATTTAGTTTAGGGTTTTTGTGTTTCTGTTTTAAATTTAAATTTTTATTTTTTTGAGGCAGTATCACTCTGTCTCTCAGGCTAGAGTGCAATGGCACAATCAACTCACTGCAGCCTTGAATTCCTGGGCGCAAGTGATCCTCCCAATTCAGCTTCTCCAGTAGCTAGGACTACAGGCGTGCACCACTATGCCTGGCTGATTTTTTTTTTTTTTTAAGAGATGGACTCTTGTCGTGCTGTCCAGGCTCGTCTCAATTCCTGGCCTCAAACGATCCTCTCTCCTAGGCCTCCCAAAGTGCTGGGATTACAGACTACAGACGTTAGCCACTGTGCCCAGCCTAGTTCAAGTTTTAAGCATTAAGAATTGACTCTTTGGAGGACTAGGGATCTTTTAAGGATCTCTACAGTCAGTGACTCTAAATGTAGTGTTTGGACCAGTAAGTAGCATTAGCATCACCCAAGAAGTCATTAGAAATGCAAATTATTGGCCGGGGCGGTGCCTCACGCCTGTAATCCCAGCACTTTGGGAGGCTGAGGTAGACAGATCACGAGGTCAGGAGTTCGAGACCAGCCTGACCAACATGGTGAAACCCTGTTTGTACTAAAAATACAAAAATTAGCCGGGCGTGGTGGAGGGCACCTGTAATCCCGGCTACTCAGGAGGCTGAGGCAGGAGAATCACTTGAACCCGGGAGGAGGAGGCTGCAGTGAGCTGAGATCACACCACTACACTGCAGCCTGGGCAACAGAGTGAGACTCCATCTCAAAAAAAAAAAAAAAAAAAAAATGCAAATTCTTAAGCCCCATCACAGGCCTGTTGAATCAGAAACTCTGAGGATGGGTCTGGCAGTCTTTGCTTTAACAAATCCTCCAGGTGGTCACAATAAATGTTGAAGTGTGAGAGTTACTGCCTGTAATCCCATTACAGAGGTATGTAGGTAACTTAAAAACAGGTCCTGATAAAAGAATTCTTCTAAACTTAAAAAACAAATTCAGGTAACCTTAATAAAAAAACAAATCTCAAACATGGAATTATTTTTTCACTTCTTTTTTTTTTTTTTTTGGAGACAGAGTCTTGCTCTGTTGCCCAGGCTGGAGGGAAGTGGCGCGACCTCGGCTCACTGCAATTTTCATCTCCCAAGTTCACGCCATTCTCCTGCCTCAGCCTCCCGAGTAGCTGGGACTACAGGCGCCCGCTACCATGCCCAGCTAATTTTTTTGTATTTTTAGTAGAGACAGGGTTTCACTGTGTCAGCCAGGATGGTCTCAATCTCCTGACCTCGATATCCACCCGCCTCGGCCTCCCAAAGTGCTGGGATTACAGGCGTGAGCCACTGCGCCCGGCCTTTTTCACTTCTTTTAATGCTCTGTAAACATTAGTGTATTTATATATGTACTTAGAATTTTTAAAAATCAATTTTATTGAGTTATAATTAACATACAGTAAAAATGCTCCCATTTTGAGTAATTCCATGCCTTTTGACAAGTGTTCTGTACCCATGCCACGACCACCACAATCGAGAGAGAACATCTTCATCATTCCAGAAGGGCTCCTTTGCGGTCAGTATTCCTGAGGAGTTCCAGCCGCCGGTGACATTGATCTGTTTTCTGTCACTGTAGATGAGATTTGTCTGTTATATACAATTTTTAAAAATTAAATATGTATGGCTTCTTTTGCTTAGCATGATGTTTTTGAGCTTATTCATTTGTTGCATATATCAATACTTTGCTTCTTTTTACCACCTGTATTTCATTTATGGATACTTTGTTTATCCATGTGTTTATCCCCAGTGGACACTGGGCTGTTTCTGATTTTTTGGTTATTATTATG